GGTAGGGTTGGTTGGTGGTGTGTATACCCTGTTTTGTTGGGTAAGTAACAAGCCACCCTGCTTGTCTGACATAACTTCTGACCACTGCTTCATAGACGTGAGTCTTATTCGTTAATTTTCTGGCAGGGTTTTGTTTTTTTGTCTTCCTTGTTAGAATCAGGGTTTCCTTCCCTCCCCCATCCGCTTGGTTAGAGAATACCACGTTTGGTGTTTGTTTGTTTGGTTTTTTTTTTTTTTGGGGGGGGGGGGGGGGGGGGGGGTGTAAATTCCCATTTATTTATTGTATGCTTATTGGTCTTGATATCTATCACCCCGTCAATTGTTCCAGCTCAGATTCTCACACTCTCCTATCCTCAATACCTCCTCTCTTCACATGGGTGGCCTTTTTGCAGAAGCACCGGTAGAAGCAGCAGCAGCAGCAGCAGCAGCAGCAGCAGCAGGATCCTGATTCATGAGCATTTATGAACACTTGTAGCTGCACACTAGTCATCCCCCAAGCACCCCCCATCCACCCCCCATCCAGCATTCGCCAACACTTGTACCTCCACATGAGCTATCCCCCATCGTCCCCCCATGCTCCTGCCATTCTCTGAATCCTTCATCAATATGGTAGGCTCCTGCCAATGGGAGCAGCAGCAGCAGCAGCAGCAGCAACATACTGATTTATGAGCTGAGCATGCAATGCCACCTTCTTATCGTCCCTTCAACGCTCCTGCCATTCTCTGAATCCTTTATCAACACGGTAGGCTCTTCCACACCCTGCCACACCCTTGGTCACCCTTGGTCAGCGCAATGTAACTCTTCTCTCCCTCTGTACCTATCACCTCATTTCGTCTCGTTTCACAACCTCGCATCGTCCCTTCAATGCTCCTGCCATTCACTCAATCCCTACAGCACTCCCTTGGTCAGTGCAAGGTGATTCTTCTCTCCTCACGCACTCGATTTTTACAGCGTCCCAACCCACTTTTCAATCTTCTTTCCCTCACTTGCACTTCCCTTGTGTCCCTTCACTAGCTTTCCCTTGCTTCTCTCACTCCCTGTCCCTCACTCTCTTTTCATCACACTCCCTAACTTCACTTCCCTTTTCCCCACTCCCTGTCCACTCCGCTGCTCTCCTGATACTCCTTTCCGCTCTTAAGGCGTTGCATAATTTGTCCCACTTTTGATCCGCCTAAAAGAACATCCCTTGTGTACCACTGAACTGCCTGTTCCACTCTTCTTCCCCTCACACTCCTAACTATTCTCACTTCCCACTGTAGCCTTGTGCATGACGCAAAGCTGCGTAATAATAATCCAGTTGTGAGAATTGTAGTGCTTGCTCTTCTCGCCCTTGTTCCCCCTACCTAATTTCTTGCTCTCCTTCACTCATCTCTTGTTCTGTGCTCCTTCCCCCTCCCTCACCCCACTCATTTTGTCTTTAAATTCGTGTCTTACCGTCCCCAGCTGATCCCTGCTTCACTACCATGCATCGCATTACCATTTGTACCAGTAGGAGCAGGAGAAGCACACTGTTGAAATCACTGCTGGGCAGATTTTACCGGCTTAATCCAAACAAGAACGGTAGAGGAATATTATTGTATCGGTAATGAACATTAAATATGATACCACTCCTTTGGATCATGCCGGATTTTGAAATTCTGAGCTTACAAACCATCAACATTCTTCAGTGCAAACATGCACAGGCTGAGGTTCTTTACAGAAACTGTAATTGGATAATACCCATGTACCCAGGAATATACCTTCTCCACTAAACCAGTTAATTTATTCGCACACATTACCTAAAACGTATACATAGAGCAATCGTGCGTAAAAAGTACTGGTGCCAGTGGACCACTAATATACGTTTCCACTTTTTTTATACTGTGATGATACCGTGATGGCCACTAAGAGCAATTCAATAATGGGCACTGTAGATTTTTTATCCAACCTTTGGCAGCCCAACAACCTTCCCGTCTTTGTCCACAAATATGCAAATGCGATCGGTGCGATACCGTCATCGCCCGGATATAAGACATATATGTCTTATTTCGTACACAGGCAAAAATGCTTGAGTTATCTTATAAATGGAAACTTTTTAAACTACTTAGAAATATTTTCTGTACTTCTTGAAAGAGAGTTTCTCATAATGAGTGTGGATGTTGCGAAGGTGCCACTTCGACAACCACTGCCCGGGACGCCACGTTATGGAGAACACCTGCAGGGGCAAATTTGGTAGGTCCTGGGTCATCGCGTGGAAGAATTAGCGCTTCGCAAGGGTAAAAATGTACGCGGTATTTCAACTTTCGCTATAATTTATTGAAGTTTCGATTATAAGACATATATGTCTTATCTCGTACACACAAATAGGTGTCTTATAATGAGGCTAGCCTGTTTATAAGACACACCCGTATAGTAGACAACCCCTGTCTACTATTCAACACTGTCTTATATCCGGGCGATGACGGTACATCATTGAAACATAAGCACTACTCGGAATGATACCAATGTCCCAATTGCACTGCGCAACCCTGGCGTTGATGTAATTGCGAGCCGCCTCGCCCGTCATGCCCTGCACCTCAGGCCATGACGTCTTGCTGAAATAAATAAGAAACTGTCGCAAGAAAAAGTCTGAAGTCATGGAAACATGCCCTCAGATTCGTTTTTGGCCTGTCTGATTCGTCAGACTAGTACACAGATTTAGTCTGAAACTCTCAGAGTTCGTATTAAAATAAGGCTGAAATTTCAGAGTGTCTAAAAAAAAAAGTATGAACATTCGAAATCAATGTATCCAATGTTCATCAGAAATGTATTCATTGTTCATTCACCTGTTACCGAAACTAGACTAAGGGGATTTCGGCGAATCTGCAATGTCAGACGCGAATCTTGTGTTAGGGAGGGCGAATCTTGTGGTGATTGGGTGAATCTTGTGGTTGTTGGGCGAATCTTTTGCTGAGCGAATCTAGTGGTGTGACAGGGCGAATCCCTACTGTCAGACGCGAACTTTGGTGATTGGGCGAAATTGTTGCGCTATGACGACGCAAATCTGTGGTGTCCGGGCGACTTTGCTATGATTGGGCGACATTTTTGTGCTGTAAGGCGCGGATTTGCTGTGTCAAGGCGATTTTTCGTTAACAGTGCGAATCTGTTGTGGCCCGTGAAGTCCGAATCACCAGTCAAGAACTCGTTTGTACTCTGAATTCATCAGAGTACACTCCCGAAAAACTCTGAAACGTCAGAGTCAGCCTATAAAAAAATCTGATTTTCACAGAGTTGAGACAATAAAAAGTCTGAATTTTACAGAGTACACCCTAAAAAAAATCTGAAATCTCAGACTAAAACAAGCAAATCAGACAAAAAAACTCTGACTTCTGGGGGCCTGCTTGGAAATGTAAACTCCGAATGGGCTGACAGAATATTCTGCTATATTATAGCTAATAATATTGAGTGTAATTAAACGAAAGTCAGTATAAAAAGATGAGGAACCCAAAATCAGTGTGGAATGTCTCAGGAGTCCCGACGAACCTGCAGCTGAGCCATGGTTTGCATGAGCAATCGTCTCCTTGCACCTTCGATTCTCGCGAAGAAGTGAGGGGAAGAAGCGAAGTGGAGAGAAGGAGCAGGAACAGGACAGGAAAAATACGGGGAAGCTCCAGGGTGTCTGACGAAACGTGAAGCACGAGAACTAGAACCAAGAGATCGTGGTCTACTAGAGCAAGTGAAACGGACGTACAGATGTACAAGAGCGTCTGAAGAGTGAGAGCATCAAAAGCAACATTTTCTGCTCGTGAAGGCAGAAATGGCGGACAATTCGAACTGCGATCTCATTTTCCCAGTGCGGGTTTGCGAATGCAGTCTTTTCGGGCAGAACCAAGCGGCTGCCCGTGTTTAGGGTTGGGGCTCCCCGTGTTTAGGGTTGGAGTTCCCCTAATCGCATGCCATCCAGATGGGGTTTATTTTTTTCAGACCGCGGGTAGATTACCACGACCCATCAGCTTCTTCCAGGCGGACTGTTAGGGATCGCATTTGCGAACCGCGCTGGCTTAATTGGATTGCAGCTGAAGTTGTCCCCAGAAATGGAATCGAAGTGAGACGAGGAGGGGGGAATTGCCAATCCAACTGTCGACGACTGGACAGACTTCCGCACCGCACTTCAGCAAAGGATCACGCGACTCGGCATATTCGTCGGGGAAATGCAGCGAATACAATTGGAAGTTGGAACGGTGTAGCGTATCGCTGGGTCAATGAGGTTTTGCGAAAAATACAAACGGTGGAAGTTTTCACGAGAGAATTGGCTGACCTGTGCACAACCAAGCTTGGCAGTATCTGAAGACATTTATCCTTGTTATAAAACGCACACAGGATAGAGTGCCAGAGATTACTGTAGCTGCATTTTCACAAGAGAAGTTTTATTGACCCAGCGAGCACTGTCCCATCATGAACGTTCAGCCATGTGGGAGATGCGCAAAAGTGACGTAACATCATTTTTGCCTCCTGGAACTCAAATTGTGTAGTAAGATGGATGTACATCCCTGTCCCTGCACCATCCGCTGCATTCCCCACTATCGGGCCCGTGTCCACATGTGAATCAGGGTAACAATTTGATGCCCTGCTGCTGCACCTGCTGCTGCTGCATGCTGCACCATATTCTACATTCTGCCAAATAGATGACACATCTTCTCATCTCACTGCAACATCTGCTGCACTCCCCACTACCGAGCCCGCTTTGACCTTTCTCTTGGACGAAGCACTGGCCCCTTTAGAGTCACAACCTGACGCTGCTGCTGCTGTGGTAGCTGCCTGCTTGTCTTAAATCTCTGCACCAGATTTCACATGTGTGCCAGACACACTACACGCGCTGCCACTGCAGCAGCAGCCGCATTCCCCATCATCTCGCCCGCTTTGACCTCTGACTAGGCCGAGGCGCTGGCCCCTTTAAAGTCACAACCTGACGTGCCTGCTGCTGCTGCTGATGCTGCTGTGACTGCCTGCCAGAAACTCGACACGCGCTGCCTCTGCAGCATATGGTGCAGACCCAACCCACTATCTCGCCCGCTTCGATCTTTCTCTTGGCCGCGGCACTGGTCCCTTCAAAGTCACAACCTGACGCTGCTGCTGCTGCTGCTGCTGCTGCTGCTGTGCCTGCCGCTGTTGCGTTTGCTGCTGTTGTGGCAGCTGTAGCGGCTGCGACGGTGGCTGCTGCGTGTGTTGCTGACCTGGCACGTGCTGCTGCAACCCCTGCTGACTTGCTGAGTGCTGGTGTCCAATTCTACCAGAAGCCATCGCACCAGAGCCAGCTGAAGCTAAACCTGCCATACCCTGCTGGCTTGCTGAGTGCTGGCCTGCTGAGTGCTGGGGCCCGCTTCTACCAACACCCGTCGCACCAGAGCCTGCTGCTGCTACTAAGCCTGTTGCGCCATGCATTCCAGTTACCCTAGCAGCAGCAGGACCAACACCAGCACCAGCAGCAGAACCAGCAGCAGTACGAGCAGCACCGGCAGCAGCACCAGCACCAACAGCAGCAGCAGTAGAAGCAGCGGAACCAGCACCAGCAGCAGTGGTGCCTGGTGGATAGGTGACAGCTCCACCTGCTGTACCTGCCAAAGCTGCTCCTGTGTTGTGTCCGGAGGTGTGATTGTGATTATACGGACTGTGATTATGTCCAATGTGGGTGTAAGGAGGGGTGCCGGGGTGAGGATGCATGGGCGAGGGAGTGGGGGCGAAGGAAGAGGGAAGGTGGGTTCGACGATCAGAAAGAGCAGCGGCTGCTGCAGTGGGTGCTGTTGCTGCTAATGGTGGTGTTGGCATCAACATTCCTGCCGCCGCTGCTGCTGCTGCTGCTGCTGCAGTTGATGCGGTTGCAGTTGCGTTGGCCTGAAAAAGTAGCAGCGGGAACAATTATGTGTGAGACGAGAAACAGGGAAGAGAAAAAGAAAGGGAAATAAAAAAAGTAAGAATGGGTGGGAGGAGATTGATGTTCGCATGGGAAAAAGACAGAAGGCTAACAGCCAAGTCACTAGCAAGGCCAAGCAAGCCACACTACACCCAACATAATTAGAATGGCCAACTTAAGGTTGAAACACTTATGACCGTCTACAGAGTCCCGAGTGAGGCCGCGGGCGGTAACGCAGGTGTAACCCGTCTACAGAATTCCCAAAGGTAACACCTACAGAGTCCCCAGTGAGGTCGGGCGCGGCGGAATAATCGGACTGTACCTTGGACGCGCCACTGCGGAAGTGCTTTCCGCCGGCAACGGCGGGGCGGGAGTCGGCGGCGGAGAGGCGCGCCATGTCGCGGCGCGCGCGGCGGATCATTCACACCGTAAGAGGAGGGTATACAGAACCCTAACTCAAGAAATTACTGCAAAGGCCCCATTCAGACAATTAGTGCTTTCCGCCGGCGACTTACCTTGGACGCGCCGCTGCGGAAGTGCTTTCCGCCAGCGACAGCCGGGCGCGAGTCGGCGGCGGAGAGGCGCGTCATGTCGCGGCGCGCGCGGCGGATCATCTCGAGGAGATCGCCGTCGCTCTCGAGGGTGTCGGACGCTAGGAGGTCCAAGGCGCGATGGAATGGCCGGGAGGAATCTGACGCCATGCCGACAGTTTGAACCGCTAGCCGGTTATAAGGTGTACGAGTGGACGGTTGCTAAGAAGTCGGGTCGGTCAGACTAAGCGGATCATCTCGAGGAGATCCCCGTCACTCTCGAGGGTGTCGGACGCGAGTGGATCCAACGCGCGGTGGAACGGCCGAGAGGAATCTGACGCCATGCTGGTAGTTGCAACTGCTAGCCGGTTAGATTGAGTAATCAGTCAGTTACCGTCAGTCTAATGGGAAACCGACGCCATTAGGTCCAACGCGCGATGGAATGGCTGGGAAGTTGTATCTGACGCCATGCTGCTGCTAGCTGGTCACGAAATGCGGGTGCACTAGTCAGCCAACCGTCAGAATGAAAGAAGTACGTATGATGTTAGTTAAAATGTCTTGAGAGTCGTGGAGGGGATTAGAAAGGACGAGCCGCGAGCCTGGTCTGACGCCGCACTGCTGCCGACAGGTTTCACTGCTAGCTGGTCATGAGTGCTCAGGACGCGGCACCTCAAGCAATTTTGCACGATCGATCGCAGGATCGCTGATTCAACCGTACTGAAATCCTGCTGAAAGCATTTAAATGTTCTGGAACCATTTAAAACTCCTGAAACATTTGATCCTCCACAGGATCGATCGCAAGATCGGTGCTAGAGGTGCCGCGTCCTCACTTCAGTGTTGAAACAAGTCGCAGTAGCAAGAGTCTTTTCATATTTTTAATTAAATTTAGTTCATGTGTGTCACAGCCGCCCTAGCTCAGTTGGTAGAGCGCAAGGCTCTTAACCTTGTGGTCGTGGGTTCGAGCCCCACGGGCGGCGCTTTCTAGCTTTTCACTACCTGCCCTTACAGGGGATGTCCAGCCCGAACATTGACTGTTCGTAAGCCCGTTCAGTTACTGCATTTTTTGTTGTAACACTGTATTGAACGTGTCCTGCGGACACAATCAGCTTTCGTTCACAAAACGGCACGCCCCCTGCACGTACCTCGAGTCTTCTGACTCACTTTACTGGAATCAGCAGGGACACGAACAAGGGTACAGCACCGCGTCATGGCCACTACAGTAGTGCCCCATGTATCGCTTGCACAATTTCGCCAGTAGCTCGCTACAATCGCCAACATCCCCCCCGCCTGCACAAAAAATTCGTTAGCTATGATTGACGAGGGAAACCGTTACCTCGTTTCGAACCCGAACAGAGCACTGTTGATTCGTGTGGCGGAGAATGTGTCCGCGCTCCTGAAATTACAGGTAGGTGGGACTCAACTCACAATGCATTCGTTTATAGGTACAGTGAAATTTTTTGAACCTCTAGACGTGTGTTGGCACTAAAAACCCCCAAATGAAAGAACTGGACACGCCCTTATGTTGTTTGGTCGCGCTTTCCGTGATTCCTTCCTTTTGCCACGCACTCCGAATTTCCCCGAGAGATTTCCGCGTCTTTCCCGTAGCTTCCTGCTGATCGTCCCGCGATTTCAGGACCGCCAATGATGAGATGGCGAAATTTCCCTCGTAGTGTTGCCTGACGGCCACTAGGGAAGGTATTTAGGTTATGAGACGTTCAGGCAGCAGTCGCTAGGTCGGTAGATGCTCAGGCTGCATCTGGTTTTTGAGACGTCTCTAAAGCCGTCGCCAGGGTAGCTGATTAAGTTGGCAGACGCTCGCCCTGCAGCCACTGCGAGCTCACAGCGCCAGTGAATTCAGCGAATTCGTCGGCGAATTCGGGCTAGGTCGGTGAATTCTCCGCGAACAAGCCAAATCGGTTCCTTGGAATTCTCTGGGGAATGTCAAGGCGGCTCGCCTCTCATGGCGTTTCCGTCTCCTCCTCCGTCGCCTTCTCCTTCCCCTAGCCCAGATTCTTCTTCCTCCGTTTCTCCCGATATTTTCCCGTTCTTCTACACCGCGCTCTTGCTTCTACCGGTGATCCTCGTTTTAGTCCGCTTCTATATCCGATCGCGCGTGAAGCGACACTCGTTCGGGTTCTTCCATCCCTTCACCAACGATGGGGGAGGCGGCGAGCGAGTGCTGTGGTGCGCCGTACGCGCTATACAGGTACCCGCCAATTGATACCCGCTATACGCTTTTTCGCCATTTGATACGCGCCATTACTGATACACGCAGATTGCTACATGGGGTGTATGTTTATTCGCCTCCTCAGTCTCTGCTCACGTGTAGATTGACCTTCCAATTACGTCTAATCTCTCCGTCTCGACTATTTCTGGGCAAAGAACATTCTACCCACCTGTTCCTCGGGTACCTCGCTCATTAACCCTCCAGGAGCTTGATCCATCAGCGCAATGTTTCGTCTACACTGGCGACGTGGCGTCTCCTGATTCGCTGGCGGAGAGAGCACACAACCTGTTCGGAGTGGTCCTGCCCCGGCCAGTGGAGGTAACGTGTTGTGTCATGTGGTTACCACGTTACTATAATTCTGTGATATCACGTTTGAGTGCTCCGGCCAGTGGAGGTAACGTGTTGTGTCATGTGGATACCACGTACCATGTTTGGGTTACCACGTTACCACGTTTGAGCTGTTCTGTCCCGGCCAGTCGAGGTAACCTGTCGTACCGCCATTGGGTCGAGGCCTCCCTGTATTCATGCTTCACTCTCCTCGGCTCATCACCCTCGCTCCCTCTCCCACGTTCCCCGTGCTTCTCTCCCCTTGTCCCACTTACTAAGCCAGGTTCTCCGCAAGTCGTACCGCTGTCTAATAAAAGCTTCCCGCTGTCTAATAAAAGCTTCCCGCTACCCTCGCTTCACTCTCCTCGGCCAGTCACTTCAGCACTCCCTCTCTCACAATCCCTGTGCTTCTCCTCCCTTGTCCCCATTTCAAACCCTGGTCGTCCGCCTGTGCTACCGCCATCTAGTGGAAGCTTCCCTCTACCCTCGCTTCACTCTCCTCGGCCAGTCACTTCAGCACTCCCTCTCCCATGATCCCCGTGCTTCTCCTCCCTTGTCCCACTTACTAACCCAGGTTTTCCGCCTGTCCTACCACCATCTAATAGAAGAATCGCTTCACTCTCCTCGACCAATCACTCCCACTCCCTCTCCCACGATCCCTTCCCCTCTCTTCCATTGCCCCACTACTAAACCTGGTCGTCCGCCTGTCCTACCGCCATCTAGTGGAAGCCTCCCTCTACCCGCGCTTCACTCTCCCCGGCCAGTCCTTTCATTTCTCCTGGTTCTCCCAATGGTTACCCCCTTCCCCCATCCCCGCTAAAGGTCGTTCGCCTGTCCTACCGCCATCTAGTAGAAGCCTCCTTTTACCCATGCTTCGCCCTCCTCGCGCAATCACTCCTCTGCTCTTCCTTCCCCCTTCCCTCTTCCTTCCTCCTTCCCACTTTCCTATTCCCACAAACCCAGGTCGTCCGCCTGTCCTACCCCATCTAGAGAAACCTTCCCTCTATCCGCGCTTCACCCTCCTCACCCAATTTCTTCGGATCTTGTTAGTGTTAGCCTTCAATCTCACACTTTGTACTTTGTATTTGCTATATCCTAGAGTAGTGTAGTTTGCACATTGTGTTTGGTTGGGTGTACACCTACATCCCAACCAAAACCAAATGTAATCTTCAAGCAATCTCCAACCCACCAATTGGAGATTGCCTTGGGATTACCCCCAATCCCTAGGGATTGCCTCTGATTCCCTTCCCCAACTATTCCTTACCCTGCTTGGATGTACTTAAAGAGCTTCAAGCTCATTACTAGTGTATCGCTTCTAAGCCTAAGTTCTCTCATGGTATCAGAGCTCTACATCCGCACATGCGGATCGTGATCCTCCTATCTTTGCGGATGTTCTTCCCGCAAACCACGGCATAGCATCCTTCAATCTCGTCGCCGTCGATTCGCGACATTCGTGGGCGGAAATTCCCCCGCACCACTTTCCCGTCAACTTCGACGACGTGTTCAATTTCTATGGTACGCTCATCGACATTGCTCTAACTTATCGTTCCTTTTTCGCCATCCCTCAATTTCGTCACTGCGCCACCTCTTCTCGTCGAGCCGCCGCCCGTCGCCCCGCAGCTTCTTGTCGGGCCGCCGCCCGTCGCCCCGCAGCTTCTCGTCGGGCCGCCGCCCGTCGCCCCGCAGCTTCTCGTCGGGCCGCCGCCCGTCGCCCCGCATCTTCTCGTCGGGCCGCCGCCCGTTGCCCCGCAACTTCTCGTCGGGCCGCCGCCCGTCGCCCCGCATCTGCACTTCTACCCCCATTCCCCTCTTCTCACAGCTGAACAGGTGCAGCAGCGCAGCCGAGCAGCAGTGCAGCAGCGCTGCGGAGCAGCAGAGTAGCCGCGAAGCCGTGCAGCAGCGTAGCCGCGAAGCAGGGGGTGGTGTGTGGGGGGGTGTGTGGGATTAGGGTTAGATCCACGGAAGTTGGCCGATTTTACCTAGCTTTGGCGGCCTAGAAAATCCTTCTACCAGGCATCTCGACGCGATCGACATTGACGATTTTCGCTATTTGTGCTCCGTCGGATTTTGAAATCGGTGACTATCGGTGGCTTAAGAGCGACGCTTCGCGCGAGATACCAAGGGATCCCCATCATGGCCTTCACCACGTCCACCATGGCCAACCCCATCACCCCGCTCCGTCTTGAAGCCGATGGCTCTAGCTCCAACTTCAAGGCATGGAGCTATGGGGTTGACAAGCACTTGCTGAGCTGTGACGTGCAGGGATTGGACCTCAACGATGTCCTCCTCAACCGTGGCAAGGGAAAACAGCCCTCTCTCCCTCGTGAGCCGACCGAATCCGTTAGTGAAGCTGACACAAGGGCATATGAGGAAGCCGTTGAGAAGTACCGGAAGTGGGAGAAGGCCGATGCTGCAATTATCACGTCTTCATCGCCTCCACCCCTCCAGAACTTGTCAACACGTTCCACATCTACCCTACCTCCAACGCCATCTGGAAGTATCTCCAGGATCGATTCATGAACAAAACTGCAGTCGGAGTTGCCATCCTCATCGCCAGCATGTTCCAGGTCCGCATTGAGGATTGCTCGGGAATGGCCGACTACATTGCCAAGGTTCAGACCATTCATGACGAACTCAAGGAGCTGGGCATAGTCTTCCCCGAACAGGCCCCTGCAGCAGCTCTTCTTGTTGGTCTCACCACAGCCTACGAAATCACAAGAAAGATGCTCCTCACGCTGACTGCGGAAGAGCTCACTTTTGCCAAGGTCTCCACCGCACTCCTCTCTGCCGAGAAAGACTCCACGGCTCAAGCCAAGGCCTACACCATCCGTGCTCCCTTGCCTCAAGCAAGTGTCGCAGCAGCCCTTGCCTCGGCGCCCCTCCAGCGCAACCGCTCCCCACCGTGCACCTACGTCGTCAAGTATGGCAACCGCAAGGGACAAGTGTGTGGTGGTACCAACCACCCCCTTGCTACATGCTTCAAGAAGAAAGACGACGAATGGTACGCTATCCACGGCATAGACAAGAGGCCACCGAACTGGATGCGTGCACGTAAGGCGAACCTTGTTGAGGTCCAGGACCCCGCTTCGGCTAGTGCTAGTGATAGTGCTCCTGCTGATGTGCGTATCAACCTGTTGTTCCCTGGCACTGCCATGATTAATGAAGCTTCCCGCCAATACCTCGGCTCATCACAAGCACCACAATACATAGAGTTCACACTTGACAGCGGCGTCACTCACACTGTACTCAAGGAGACACTCTCCTTCAAACCCTACGCAACACCCATCCCTCTCCTAGGAGCTGGCTCAACCTTCACCACTCTTGCCAAGGGTTCATCCACAGTCCCATGCCCCGCCTTCCCTTCCGGCACTGTCACTGAAATGTGCGTGCCTTCACTCCGCCACAATCTCGTGGCCCAAACGGAGATTCAGGAAGCTGGGCTACGCACCATCTTCTGGGAGAACGAGAACTATGGTGATATCCTCGACCCACTCACCAACAAGGTCTTGACTCGTTTCACCCTCAACAGCAACGGCCTTTACACGCTGCAAGTACCCATCCCAATGGTGTCAACCACCCAAGCAGAGGCAACTACCGCACCATGCTCGTGCCGCAGTTTGTCCAACCCGACCATACTCTACCATCATCGGCTCGGGCACCCAAACTTCCGCACACTTGCTGACATGGCCTCCAAGAAACTTCTACTCGGCCTGCCAGCCTAACTTCCTCCACCACCAGACTCCCCCGCTCCCACGTGCCTTGACTGCACCAAGAGCAAATTGCGTCAACAGCCCCACCCGGCCTCACCCTCTGTCGCAGCAGCATCACTGGACTTGGTACACCTGGACGTCTGGGGCCCTGCCCCGGTTCCCGCACGAGGTGGTTATCGCTACTTCCTTGTTATCGTCGATGACCACTCTCGCTACGTCTCTGTCCACCTCCTCCACACTAAGGCTGCGGTTCCAAAGGTCCTCATGGCGTGGGTTAAACAGGCACAGACCACCTTTGACCGTAAAGTCAAGCGCCTCCACTCGGATGGTGGTGGTGAGTTTTGCAACGACAAGCTCAAAGCCTTCTACTCTTCAGAAGGCATCCAGCAAAACTTCACCCTCCCTGACAGCCCGCAGCAGAATGGCATAGCTGAGAGCCGCAACCACACCCTGGTGCAGATCACTCGGTGCCTCCTCGGCCACTCCAACGCTCCGCACTCTCTCTGGGGGTACGCCCTCTACCACGCTGCCCTCCTCTACAACCTTTACCCCCACCCTCATCTTCCCGACACCACTCCAACCACACTTTGGCTCGGGAAAACGCCCACTGCTCTCTCTCTCTTCGCGTTTAAGGGTGCACCGCCTATGTCCTCCTCAACCCTCAGGCTCGACGGCAGCACGGCGGCAAGCTCGGTCCCAAGACCCAGACGTGTATCTACCTCGGGCACAACGCCGACTCGCCTGACTACCTCTTCCTCAACCCCTCCACTCAACAGCTGGTTTGGAGCCGCGAGGTTGTCTTTGATGAGACCCGCCCATTCTACTCCACTTCGGGACGGGACCCTCTCTCTGCTCCACCCTCCCTGGTGTGGGCAGACTTTGATGCGCCTCCTGACCTCCCACCTGCACCGGCCCCCTCACCTCCTCCCTCTCCTGCCATTGCACCTTCCCCCTCAGAGATCTCTGACCCGCCCTAGCTGGTGTCCTCAGCGGCTGCCCCTCCATCCTCCTCACTTCCAACTCCGCCGACTGTGCAGCCACCTCCAAGCGCACCTATCACCTACCATCGGCGGTCCCACCCTCCGGCCCCACACCCTCCCACGGTTCCCCCTACCACAGAGGAACCCGCTCTCCCACAGTCGCCCGAGCTGATCACGTACCACCGGCGGCCCATTCCCCCGCCCAAGCCTCCTAAGTCAACCCCTCCGACACCGCCTGCCCCACCCTCTTCTCCGGTGGCTCATGGCACTCGCTCGCATGGCGCTGCTCTTCCACTAGCGCTGCTTCTTCAATACACAGCGATCACACCGCCTCCTCCTGCTGGGGGGGATGTGCCCTCTACTCTTCTGGAAGACTGGCATGAGGAGCTGTGTGATCTTCATGCAGTCATTCCTCAGCTCTCGCACATCTTCCCCGACATCACTGACTCACCTTCCCTCAACTTCGGCCTAGGGATTGCCTCTGATTCCCTTCCCCAACTATTCCTTACCCTGCTTGGATGTACTTAAAGAGCTTCAAGCTCATTACTAGTGTATCGCTTCTAAGCCTAAGTTCTCTCATGGTATCAGAGCTCTACAGGATCTCACTTCTGTTTTTCCTAGTCCCTCATCCCCACTCTCTCCTTTCTCCTACAGGTCGTCCGCCTGTCCTACCGCCATAGAGTGGAGGCCTCACATTATCCGCGCGTCACTCTCCCCGGCCAATCTCCTTCAAATCTCCTTCTGTTTCCTTTGGACCCTTCCTCCCCTCCCCCATCTCCCCCTAAAAGGTCGTCCGCCTGTCCTACCGCCATCTAGTGGAGGCCTCACATTATCCGCGTGTCACTCTCCCCGGCCAATCTCCTTCAAATCTCCTTCTGTTTCCTTTGGACCCTTCCTCCCCTCCCCCATCTCCCCCTAAAAGGTCGTCCGCCTGTCCACTGCCATCTAGTCGAAGCCTCTCTCTATCCGCGCTTCACTCTCCCCGGCCAATCTCCTTCAAATCCAACTCCCTCTCCCACAATCCCTCCCCCTCTCTTACCTCATCCCCCTTCACACAATATCAGGTCGTGCGTCTGTCCTACCGCCATCTAGTAGAGGCCTCTCTCTATCCGCGCTTCACCCTCATCGGCCAATCACTGGGCTCCATGGCTCTCGCACTAGAGGCCGTTCTCCGCCGCCCGCCCGCTGTTTTCGTGGATACTGCTGGATACGCGTTCTCTTATCCTGTAGTGAAGCTGCTGTTAGGGGGACGAGCAGCAGGAGGAGGAGGGGGAGGGAAGGGGGGAGGTTGTTTGGTGGTGTGCTACACGCACTATCCGACGATCAGTGGAGACATGCTGCAGCGGGTGCAGCAGCGCACTAGCATGTATAACAACGACGATACTGTGGCCAACAGGTGGGTGCATTGAAGGGGGAAGCACGAGATAGGGAAAGACAGGGGGATTCAGGGGGAAGATAGGGGGAAGACAGGGGGAAGACAGGGGGAAGACAGGGGGAAGACAGGGGGAAGACAGGGGGAAGACAGTAGGACACGACATGCTGCAGAGAGTGCAGCAGCGCACCAGCATGTATAACAACGATGATAGTGTTGCCAACAGGTGGGCGGGTGGGGTGGGGGCAAGAGGGGAGCAACAGGGGACGTACAGCAGTGCACCAGCATGTATAACAACAATGCCACTGTTGCCAACAGGTGGGTGCAGGGAGTGGGCGCAAGGAGTGGGGAAGGGCGAGATAGAGGGGAGATAGGGGGACGACAGGGGGGCATGGCATGTTGCAGAGAGTGCAGCAGCGCACCAGCATGTATAACAACGATGATACTGTTGCCAACAGGTGGGTGAGTGGGTGGGGACAAGGTGAGGAGATGAGGGGAGAGGAGGGGAGGGAGGGTGTTTGGTGGTGTGTTATACGCACTATCCGACTATCAGTGGAGACATGCTGCAGCGGGTGCGGCAGCGCACTAGCATGTATAACAACGACAGTACTGCCGCAAACAGGTGGGTGCATTGAGGGGGAGGGGCAGCAGCCAGTGGAGACGGTGCATGTTGCAGAGAGTGCAGCAGCGCACCAGGCCTAATGTGCTGATGAAGGCCTTTGCTGGCCGAAACGCGTTCTCTTAGCAGGCTTGCTGCGTTTCGAATCCAACAAACTTCAATTGAGGGGGAAGGGCAGCAGCCAGTGGAGACGGTGCATGTTGCAGAGAGTGCAGCAGCGCACCAGCATGTATGATAATGACGGTACTGTGGCAAGCAGGTGGGTGGGTGGGTGGGTGGGTGAGTGAAAGGAGTAGGTGCAAGGTGAGGAGAGGAGAGGGCGAAGCGAGTGCAGTAGCGCACCAGCATGTATGATAATGACGGTACTGTGGCAAGCAGGTGGGTGGGTGGGTGGGTGGGTGGGCGGGTAGGCACGCTGACGTCACCATGGTCAACTCGAGAGTTCCTTGACCGAGGGGAGGGCCACACACACTCAACCTGCTATCTCGTGTCTTCCTTTCCACTGCCCTCTCACCCCATCCCAGCTCCATCCTTACCTCCTCCAAGCGCTACTATTACCGTTTCTTCGCCTTCCTCCGCGGTTAAGGGGTGGGGGCACACTGAATTCATTGGTATGGTCAACTCCCGCCTTGCGATCTTTTCCACTCCCTCCCTCCCATTCTCTATCCCAGCGCCATCCTTTCCTCCTCCAAGCTTTACTACTACCGCTTCTTTGCCCTCCTGTACGGGTGGGCGGGTGGGCACGCTGACATCACCATGGTCAACTCATCGTGGACCGAGGGCCACATTCGGCGAATCTGGACGCGCAACAAGCCGAGCTCCGTGCACCGGGTGTACCCTCCATGTGACACCACTGCTCTCCAGGTGAGTTGGTGGTTTAAACCAGAGAATCTGAGTTGGCAACAAGCCGAGCTCCGTGCACCGGGTGTACCCTCCCTGCGACACCGCTGCACTGCAGGTGAGTGTCTGGTTGTTGTTCGAAGTATTACTTGGTTTGCGAAGGTGCCGCAGATTCGATGAATCTGGATGCGCAACAAGCCGAGCTCCGTGCACCGGCTGTACCCTCCATGTGACACCGCTGCTCTCCAGGTATGCACTGCGTGTGCTGTGGTTTTGAACCCGACCAACCTGTGAGAGTAGTGGCGTGTTGTAGATTCGACGAATCTGGACGCGCAACAAGCCGAGATCCTTGCACTGGGTTTACCCCCCCTGCGACACCGCTGCTCTCCAGGTGAGTAAATTGCTGCTTCTTGATTGGAATGAATCAAGAGCACAGGGGAGCGACATCAGCAGGTGAAGACACTGGAGTCCCCTCTTTGTGTCCACCCCCAACCCAACAGCACCTACTCGTTTTTCTGGTTCAAAGCTACAGTGTCCTCATCTGCTTATTCAAGTAACGGTTCACTTGTCTAATACAAGCCCAGGGCAACTTTTGAGTCGACTCAAAAGTCACCTCATCACTTGTCTAATACAAGCTCAGGGCAACTTTTGAGTCGACTCAAAAGTCACCTCATCACTTGTCTAATACAAGCCCAGGGCAGGTATCAACCTGCAACAAGATGACTTTTGAGTCACACGACCACTGTCCCTGCCAGGCTCTTCCTCTCTCCCGCCCCGCGTCAAACTACATCATCTCCGTTGCCCAGTTCCGACCAGTAAAGATGCAGTCCTTTTCCTAAGGAAACGGCATTTATTCTCCTTCCTTTCCTCGGTCCTTCCCTCCTTCCTTCCGTCCTCCCTTCCACTTTTCCAGGCTCTTCCTCTCTCCCGCCCCGCGTCAAAATGCATCATCTCCGTTGCCCAGATCCGGCCAGAAAAGATGCAGTCCTTTCCCTAAGGAAATGGCATGTATCCTCCTTCCTTTCCTCGGTCCCTCCGTCCTTCCTCCCGTCCTCCCTTCCACCTTTCCAGTCCTCTCTCCCGCCCCGCATCAAAATACATCATCTCCGTTGCCGAGTTCCGACCAGTAAAGATGCGAATCCTTGGCGAAAGAAATGGCATTTATCCTCCTTCCTTTCCTCCGCCCTTCCCTCGTGCCTGCCGTCCTCCCTCTCACCCTTCCAGGCACTTCCTCTCTCCCGCCCCGCGTCAAAATACATCATCTCCGTTGCCCAGTTCCGGCCAGAAAAGGTACACAGCTCTTGCCCTCTCACACGCTCATTCCTGTACGGTGCAGACTTTTTTATGTGTACATCTCACACTCTCATCCCTGTGCTTTCCTGCATCTCACGCACAGTCTAGCTGTCAATCTCGCCCCGTGTGAAGATATATAATCTCCATTTCGCAGTTGCGACCAGAGAAGTTTCAAGGCTCGTGCAAAAATTAACTACAGTTATCTTCCAACGTATGAAAAACTAAGCGTGGTGTTTTTGCCGTTCAAGTAAACTAAGCATGGCTTTCATAGAGCACATCATGCGTGAAGGAATCCAAAAAGGGAAGGCGTGGCGTGCATGTTGCTATCTGCAGCATGTGCGTGTACTGTATTGCTTTTGAGACGTCTCAAAATGTTGCTATCTGCAGCATGTGCGTGTACTGTATTGCTTTTGAGACGTCTCAAAATGTTGCTATCTGCAGCATGTGCGTGTACTGTATTGCTTTTGAGACGTCTCAAAATGTTGCTATCTGCAGCATGTGCGTGTACTGTATTGCTTTTGAGACGTCTCAAAATGTTGCTATCTGCAGCATGTGCGTGTACTGTATTGCTTTTGAGACGTCTCAAAATGTTGCTATCTGCAGCATGTGCGTGTACTGTATTGCTTTTGAGACGTCTCAAAATGTTGCTATCTGCAGCATGTGCGTGTACTGTGTTGCTTTTGAGACGTCTCAAAATGTTGCTATCTGCAGCATGTGCGTGTACTGTATTGCGTCCGCGCTTCACCGTTTGGGATGCTTGAAGAGAGGGCATGCACTGCAATGCACACCCAACACACAAGACTTGCAGTGACTTTTGCGGTGTCCTCCTTTGACAGCTCCTGCACCTCTTTGGGATGCTTGACGAGAGGGCCTGCGGCCTGCACTGCAATGCACACCCAACACACAAGACTTGCATGTCATCCATCCATCCACTGTAAACAATGGTTTCTATCTTAGGATCGAATTGAGTCCCTTACCCCGGTCATTCTCCCGCCCCTCGCTCTCTCAGAAGCACGCATTGCAGTTTCGAGCCTTTGCAAAAGCCATCCCACTTACTTCTCCCCCCACCCAACCCTCTCCTCGGCCCATTCTCTTCCTCCCTCCACAACCCCCCTCTCTCTCTCAGAACCACGCATTGCAGCTTCGAGCCTTTGCACAGGCCATAAAGCCTGCACCACCATCCGATCCAACGGCTGACGCTCAATCGGAGCCCGATCCGATGGCTGGCGTGCGTCTGAAGCTGGTGGGGAGCAGTCGGCACCGGGAGGACGAGAAGCGGATTGAACTTCTGGGGTGCCTGGCGGTGTCTCTTGGAGTAGAGAGACGCGTTGATTTCATTGTCAACACTCCCTTCAGGTAACTCATTCAACGCAGAACAGCAAGGTATGTGCGTGTGTATGCACACCCAGTAGGCAGCAGCCGGCACTAGTTTTGAGTCGACTCAGTTTTGGGTCGAGTTTTGAGTCGACTCAAAACTAGGTTCATTGTCAACACGCCCTTCAGGTAACTTATTCAACGCAGAGCAGCAAGGTATGTGTGCGTGTGTGTGTGAACCCAGTAGGCAGCAGCCGGCACCGAGAAGACGAGAAGCGCATTGAGCTGCTGGGGTGCACGCCCAGTAGGCAGCAGCCAGCACCGGGAGGACGAGAAGCGCATTGAGCTGCTGGGGTGCACGCCCAGTAGGCAGCAGCCGGCACCGAGAAGACGAGAAGCGTATCGAGCTGCTGGGGTGCACGCCCAGTAGGCAGGCAGCAGCCGGCACCGGGAGGACGAGAAGCGCATTGAGCTGCTGGGGTGCACGCCCAGTAGGCAGCAGCCGGCACCGAGAAGACGAGAAGCGTATCGAGCTGCTGGGGTGCACGCCCAGTAGGCAGCAGCCGGCACCGGGAGGACGAGAAGCGCATTGAGCTGCTGGGGTGCACGCCCAGTAGGCAGCAGCCGGCACCGAGAAGACGAGAAGCGTATCGAGCTGCTGGGGTGCACGCCCAGTAGGCAGCAGCCGGCACCGGGAGGACGAGAAGCGCATTGAGCTGCTGGGGTGCACGCCCAGTAGGCAGCAGCCGGCACCGAGAAGACGAGAAGCGTATCGAGCTGCTGGGGTGCACGCCCAGTAGGCAGCAGCCGGCACCGGGAGGACGAGAAGCGCATTGAGCTGCTGGGGTGCCTGGCGGTGCCTCTTGGAGTAGAGAGACCGCGTGGATTTCATCGTCAACACGCCCTTCAGGTAACTTATTCAACGCAGAACAGCGAGGTATGTGTGTGTGTGTGTGTGAACCTTGTAGGCAGCAGCAGCCGGCACCAGGAGGAGGAGAAACGTATTCAGCTGTTGGGGTGACTTGCCGTGACTCTTGGAATAGAGAGACGCGTTGATTTCATTGTCAACACTCCCTTCAGGTACCTTAGTGCATGGGTCAAGTCAAGGCACGTGTGTGTGTGTGTGAAGAGCGAAGCTGGTGGGTTTTGTTCACTCAAGACAGACGAGCAGCCGGCACCGGGAGGACAAGAGGCGGATCGAGCTGCTGGGGTGCCTAGCGGTGTCTCTTGGAATCGAGAGACGCGTTGACTTCATTGGTAACACTCCCTTAATTTGAGTGTGAGGTTCAACACTCCCTTGAGGCACAGGGAGGACGAGAAGCGCATTGAACTTCTGGGGTGCCTGGCAGCGTCCTTCTTACAGTAATAGAGAGATGCGTTGACTTCATCGTCAAGTCTCCCTTCAGGTGGTTTTAGTTATCAGTAGAGCCCAGGAGCTGCAGAGATTGTTTTTTTAACAATTCTAAAAAAGATCCTTGCAGCTCCCTGGAGAAGGAGCTGCACCAGCTACGAGGCGCCTTTTGAGTCGACTCAAAGTCACCTCTTTTGAGTCGACTCAAAAGTCACCTCTTTTGAATCGACTCAAAAGTCACCTCTTTTGAATCGACTCAAAAGTCTCCCTGGAGCAGGAGCTGCACCAGCTACGAGGCAGCGCCACCTGCGGGCTACTACTACTCACCATGTGCCTGGGTGTTCGTTGCTCCCTATTACCGCATTGCACCCATGTGTTCGCGTTTCTACTCTTCCTTCTACCGCACTGCACCCATGTGTTTGTCATTGCATGGCAGGGAGCTGCAACAGCTGTTAGGCGGCGCCACGTGCGGCATACACACCATGTGGGACGAGCACTTTGGCATCAGCGTGGTCGAATACATGGCAGCAGGGGCTGTTCCCATAGGTGCGTATCCTGGACAGAAGGTGTTTGGATCTGGCGACTTCTAGGGGAAATGGCACCTGTGGGTGGGATACACACCATGTAGGACGAGCACTTTGGCATCAGCGTGGTCGAATACATGGCAGCCGGGGCTGTCCCCATCGGTGGGTCTATTGTAGCGGTACGCTTATTGTACCCAGAGGTCAACTGGTGCCTGGCAACCGGTGCCACCACTCGGGTAGGCACCACCTGTGGGGTACACAGCATGTGGGACGAGATGGGCATCAGCGTCGTTGAATACATGGCAGCCGGGGCTGTTCCCATAGGTGGGTGCATCCGCTGCAAGGTAATGGCTACGACTCGGGTAGGCATCACCTAGTGTAGGCGCCACCTGCGGCATACACACCATGTGGGATGGGCACTTTGGCATCAGCATGGTCGAATACATGGCAGCAGGGGCTGTGCCCATCGGTGGGTGTTTGTTTATCATTCCATACCATAGGATTGCACACCCATCGTGCATGTGGTGCTTCGTGACAGGTAGGGAAGGTGCCTCGTGTAAGGTTAATTACACACCACACCACACCACACCACACCACACCACACCACACCACACCACACCACACCACACCACACCACACCACACCATGTGGGATGAGCAGTTTGGCACTAGTGTAGCTCGAGTGCATGGCAGCCGGAGCATTTTGGCATCAGTGCCTCAAAAATTGCATGGCAGCCGGAGCCCTCCCCATAGGTGGGTGCTGGGTGGCAGCAGGGGCTTGGTGACTGGTACAGTAGGTGCCAGTGCCACCCGTGGGATGCATTACTTTTGAGTCGACTCAAAAGTCACCTCATAGGTGGGTGCTGGGTGGCAGTAGGGGCTTGGTGACTGGTACAGTAGGTGCCAGTGCCAGTGCCACCCGTGGGATGCATTACACACCACACCACACCATGTGGGATGAGCATTTTGGCACCAGTGTAGCTCGATTGCATGGTAGGTGCCACCTGCAGGTACATTACATGCCACACACACCCATCGCGTGTGTGGTGCTCCCCTACCTGTAGGGAAGGTGGCGCGTGTGGTGCTCCCGAAAATGGACATTGCAGTGCTGGCTACTTTTGAGTCGACTCGAAAGTCGGCGCGTGTGGTGCTCCTGAAAATGGACATTGCATTCTAGTGCTGGCCTGCCATGCTGGGTACAGGAGAAAAGGAGGACAGGGAAACCCATATCACCCCGTCTTTCTGGGATACGAGGAGGGAGATGAGAAGGACAAGGAAGACCCATCTTACCCACACAATCTTTTTCCTTCTCCTGTGTGTCTCGTTCCGCTGTTCCTTGGTTTGCTCTGCTCTTCCCGGCAGCCCACAACTCTGCCGGCCCCAAAATGGACATTGTTGTGCCAGCCTGCCATGCTGGTCTGGGGAGGAGGGAGATGGCCGTCTCACCCACACTGTTGTGTTTCCATTGCCTCCTCTGTTGCCTCTTGCAGCCCACAACTCTGCCGGCCCCAAAATGGACATTGTCGTGCCGGCCTGCCATGCTGGTTGCAAAGAAGAAGATCGGCAGGAGAAGAGGGGAGGTGAGGAGGGAGATGACCGTCTCACACACCCACACTGCTGTGTTTCCAATATCTGTTCCTCTGTCTGCTCTGTTGCTTCTTGCAGCCCACAACTCTGCCGGCCCGAAAATGGACATTGTCGTGCCGGCCTTTCATGCTGGTCTGGGGAGAAAAGAAGACGGGCAGGAGAAGGGGGGAGAGGTGGGAGATGGGGAGGGAGACAAGGAGGGAGGCGAAGGGGAGCAATCAGAGCCGTTGATTTGGAAGGGCCAGCTAGAAGCGGACTCATCAGGCTGTCCTGTAGGGTATTTGGCGATGACCGAGGACGAATACGCTGCTGCCATGCGGGCGGTTTTCGCCATGTCAGCGGAGGAGAGGGAGCGGATAGCGACAGCTGGCAGGGAGTGGGCCAAGCGATTCTCCGAGGAGAATTTCGATAAGAGCTTCAAGGATGTGTTGCGCCCAGTGCTTGACTACTCTTGAAGAAGACAGAACAATGGCCAGCTGGCTAGTCGGAAGTTATAATGAAATCACTTATGAGAATTCTCAAGACAGAACAATGGCCAGCTGGCTAGTCGGAAGTTATAATGAAATCACTTTTGAGAATTCTCAAGACAGAACAGTGGCCAGCTGGCTAGTCAGAAGTTCCCTGAGAATTTTGATAAGAGCTTCAAGGATGTGTTGGGACCTATGGTTGTATGTTTTTGAGCCAGGCAGAACAATGAGTTATCGTCTTATATTTGGGGATTATTTTTTTCCCCTGGATATAAGTGCACATGCGCTTCTAACAAAACACGTTTTTCCAGGGTGGTGTGCTTATAATCTAGTAAATCCTGGCATTACTGAATGATAGATTGAATGTAATGCGCCATAACTATATGATACAGCAGAACATGTCAGTACCGAGGCCCTTCTCAATGCGTACTTTTCTGTTCCTGGCTCCCCTTGCAGCCTTGATTTTGCGTCACCTGCTTCGCTGGCAGTAGTTCCTACCACTAGATAAGTTTCTAAAGACAGTCGTAACCAGAATAGTAGCGTGGCGTCGGTTCGCTAATTGCCCAGGGTTAAGCGTTTACTCGCACTTTTTATGAGAGGTTTGGGCAACCTGCATTGGGTTTGGAATTCTCAAACATTGCTAGCTCGTTAACTCGCGTGTGGGCGACGTGCATTACCATGGCGACCCCGGACGACTCGGGTTTCCTCTATCGAACGCTTCGTACCGTTATCGGAACGAGTACATTGAGCGACCCGTTCGTGAGTGATCCGTTAGTGAGTGATCCGTTAGTGAGTGATCCGTTAGTGAGTGATCCGTTAGTGAGTGATCCGTTATTGGCTGATTTGTTATCGACGACGCCCGGTACGAGTGCCTCCTTGCCTGCCGATACTAGTCGAGCGATTGCCGCGTTAGTTGCTGAGCTGGACGCGAGATATTCTTCGGCAGGATCGCCGTCCGCCACGCATCCTTCTGTACCCGATACTAGCGCACGCGCTGCGGCTATAGATGGCGAACACGACGAGGATGACGACAGCGACGGTGACGCGGAGGACGAACTTGTTATTCGCCTCGTCGACATAGTAGATGTGGTAACCACACCTATTGCGAAAAGTACGAATCTCGGTACAACAAACCTCGATATGAATCAGTCAGAAAAAGTAGAAGATGAAGCTCGATCGGACGGCGGACAGGCTTCGTGCGGGGACCAGGGAGCTGCGTCAGCAGACGACGGCGTATCGCAGGATAAGGAAGTGGCTGAGGATAAGAGGAAGAGGAAAGCGCAGGAGGGAGCGGACGGGGAAGCGGCCGCAAAAGCGGGGGAAGCAAGAAGCGGAAAGCTTGCGCGTGTTGCGCCAGTGGCGGAGCCTGAAGCGCCAGTGGCGGAGCCTGAAGCACCAATGGCAGAAACGCGGAGCGGAAAGCCTGCGCCAGCGGCGGACCCTGCAGCGCCGTGGAGCGTGGGCCACCCGGAAGGGCATCCGCGCAGCCCCTTTCTCCGCCTGCATCAAGGCAAGCTTTGAACCTCAACCTCCTTGAGCCCTGAACCTTCTTAAACCTTGAACCCGCGGCCTAATATAAACAGTGCCGTGGAGCTTGGGGCACCCGGAGGGGCATCCGCGCAGCCCCTTCCTGCGCCTGCACCAAGGCAAGAACCCTTCAAAACCCTGAACCCCCTGAAACCCTGCCCCTGAACCAGCAGCGGACCCTGCAGCGCCGTGGAGCGTGGGCCACCAGGAGGGGCATCCGCGCAGCCCCTTCCTGCGCCTGCACCATGGCAAGCCTTGATATTCCCTTTGGGCAACCGTAAACCCTGAACCCTGAGCATGAACAGCCACCATGTCCCCATCACCCGGCCCTTACTAAACACGTAAACCTCAGAAATTGTGGGGTTTTGTCATCTTTTCGAGGCATCGGAGCAGGAGAAGCAGACAAGTGTGGGCAGAGGCAGTGGGGCCGGGATACCATCACCATCACCTGGTGGTTACCACCATCACCTGGTGGTTACCACCGTCACCCCCGCCCGCTTCATTTCACCCCTCACGACGACCCCGGCCCTTGCAACATGTGCCGCCTCCGTGTTTCCGCTCATCTTCCCCTTGCCTAACCTTGTTCCCGTCACTTTGTGGAGGCGTCAGTGCAGAAGAAGCAGGCGAGGACGGGAATACAGTGAGGGTGAGAAGGGTCTTTTTTAACCCCTTCTCACCCTCACTGTATTCCCGTTCATCTTCCCCTTTCCGAACCCCAGAGATTGTGGAGTTCTGCCGGTTGGTTGAAGCGTCGGAGCAGCAGGAGAAGCCGGCACGGGCGGAGGTGGTGGGGCGAACGAATGACCACCCTCAACCTCGTGCTTTTGCAACCCCGTCCCTTTCCCAACACCAGAGATCGTGGAGTTCTGCCGGTTGGTTGAAGCGTCGGAGCAGCAGGAGAAGCCGGCACGGGCGGAGACGGTGGGGCGAACGAATGACCACCCTCAACCTCGTGCTTTTGCAACCCTGTCCCTTTCCCAACACCACACCAGAAATCGTGGAGGCGTCGGAGCAGGGGAAGCAGGCGCGGACAGAGGCAGCGGTGGGGCGGGTGGGGGGTGTCACTGAGAGGACGGCACAGGGCACCAACACGTACAGTACAGCCACTGTGGTGTTCCCATCACTCTCCTGCCCTTCTCATACCCCAGAGATCGTGGAGTTCTGCCGGTTTGTGGAGGCGTCCGAGCAGGAGAAGCAGGCGCGGCCGGAGGCAGTGGGGCGGGTGACAGGAGGTGTCACTCACAGCACAGGGATCTGAGATGTGGATGTTTCCCACTTTCCCTTCTCTTACCCCAGAAATCGTGGAGTTCTGCCAGTTTGTCGAAGCATCGGAGCAGGAGAAGCAGGCGCGGGCGGAGGCGGTGGGGCGGGTGACAGCTGTCATCCACAGCATCTGGGCGCACTGCCACGTGGAGGTGTTTGGTTCGTACGCCACGGGCGTGTACCTGCCGACCAGTGACGTGGATGTGAGTATCACAATTCACCAAACCAGTTCACTCACACACCACACCACATCACACCAGACCCATCCCTTTGTGAAGCCTTACTGCCGTGGGGAGGTGTGACAGCCCACCATACCAGTTCACGCCCCAGACCCATCTCGTGGGGGAGGGGCAGTGGCACGTGGGGAGGTGTTTGGTTCATATGCCACGGGCGTGTACCTGCGGACCAGCGACGTGGATGTGATTACCAGCTCACACCCCATAACCATTTCCTGGTGAAGACGCACTGCCAGCCACGTGGGGAGGTGTTTGGTTCATACGCCACGGGCGTGTACCCGCGGACCAGCGACGTGGATGTAAGTGCAGTGTAGGGCACGGTGGCCGTGGTACTGGGGGCATCTGGGCAAGGCAAGCTCCCCCACCCCATGGCCGTGCAACTGGGGGCATCTGGGCACCCCCAGGCCAGTACTGCCCTGATACTGTCGGTCTGTTTGGTTCGTATCGTACGCCTTTCGATCTCTCTCCACCCCTGTCTTTCCCGTCGCCACTCTTTTCGTTTTCTTCCCATCAGATGGTAGTGCTGCACTCGGGCTGCCTGGACGTGCAGAGGGCACTGAGAGCACTGGCTACGGCACTGGTGGGATTGAAGGGATTTCTTGTCCTGCACCCACCCAAGCCCTTCCCCATCTGCTGCTCTCTGCTCTCTCCTTCTGCCCCTCTTCCGGCTGCCCGGACGTGCAGAGGGCACTGAGAGCACTGGCGAAGGCACCGGTGGGATTGAAGGGAGTCCCTGTCCTGCACCCACGCAAGGCACTGCCCGCACCCCTTCAACCCCGCTTCCCTTCCCCTCCCGCAGATGGTAGTGCTGCACTCGGGCTGCCCAGACGTGCAGAGGGCGCTGAGGGCACTGGTGGGACTGAAGGGATTTCTTGTCCGGCACCCACCCCAGGCCGTGCCCCGTCTTCTGTTCTCCTTTCTCGCCTTCTGCCCCTCTTCCCCTCCCGCAGATGGTAGTGCTGCACTCGGGCTGCCCGGACGTGCAGAGGGCGCTGAGAGCATTGGCAAAGGCGCTGGTGGGGAGGAGAGTTGCACGGAACATGAAGGTAGGGGGAGATTGGGCATGAAACGAGCTGGTTTTTGAGAATTCTCAAAAACCAACATGAAGGTAGGGGGAGATTGGGCATGAAACTGAGTGGAGTGTTGGTTAGCAAAACATGTGCAGAGGGCGCTGAGAGCACTGGCAAAGGCGCTGGTGGGGAGGAGAGTGGCTCGCAACATGAAGGTACGCACGTGGAGAGGAGACGAGATGAGGGTGCAGGGTGCATTGTAACAGTCCCTTGTTTTTTCCTGCCACTTTTCCTCTTGCTTCTCCTCTCTCTGTTTCCTCACCTTGCCATTTTTAAGGTCACTGGGCAAGCACGTGTGCCGATAATAAATCCCATCCTCTCACTCCTCTCCTCTCACGCCTCTCCTCTCACTCCTTCCCCCCCTGCCTGCTTTCCCCCTTTTTCTTGCAGGTTATCGGGCAAGCACGTGTGCCGATCATCAAGTTCCTCCTTATCTCACTCCTCTCCCCTCCCCCTCCAACCTTTTCCTCCCCTACAGGCCATAGGGCAAGCACGTGTGCCCATCATCAAGTTCCTCCTTTTCCTCACTCCTCTCCCCTCCCCCTCCAACCTTTTCCTCCCCTACAGGTCATTGGGCAAGCACGAGTGCCGATCATCAAGTTCCTCTTCTCGCCCGCCTCACGCCTCTCACTCCTTCCCTTTCTTCCCGCCTCCAACCCCCACCCCCCCCCTACAGGTCATCAGGCAAGCACGCCATCATCAGGTTCCCCCTCTCCCTCGCTCCTCTCGCACTCTCTCACTACTTCCCTCCCTGGTCGCGTCTCCTCCTGTTCTTGCAGGTCATCGGGCAAGCACGTGCGCACATCATCAAGTTCCTCCTTATCTCACTCCTCTCCCCTCCCCCTCCAACCTTTTCCTCCCCTACAGGCCATTGGGCAAGCACGTGTGACGATTTTCAAGTTCCTCCTCTCCTTTTCCAGCCCCTTTCTATCTTTCTCTCTCTTCCCTTCTCTTCCTCTCTCTTTGCCCACCTCTCCCCCACTGCAGGTCATTGGAAAGCGCGTGTGCTGATTATCAAATCTCTCATCTCACTCACTCGCCCCCCCTCCTGCCTGCCTCCCCCCCTGCAGGTCATCGGGCAAGCACGAGTGCCGATCATCAAGTTCCTGGAGATTGAGAGTGGAGTGTCATTTGACATCAGGTGGGAGGGAGTGGAGTAAATGAGTGGGTGAGTGACGGCACGTGTGCGTGTTTGCATGAGTGCATGCATGTGTGCGTGCGGGGGTGTGCCGATCATCAAGTTCCTGGAGATTGAGAGTGGATTATCATTTGACATCAGGTGGGAGAGAGGTAGTGCGTGAGTACATGCATGTATGTATGCATATGTATGTATGTGTGTATGTATGTATGCATATGTATGTATGTGTGTATGTATGTATGCGTGCATGTGTGTGCATCCGTGCCTGTGTTTATGCGCATCAGTGCACGTGTGCCGATCATCAAGTTCCTGGAGATGACCAGTGGAGTGTCGTTTGACATCAGGTGAGAGGGGTAGCGAGGGGGTGAGTGAGTACAAATATGTGTGTGTGTGTGTGTGTGTGTGTGTGTGTGTGTGTGTGTGTGTGTGTGTGTGTGTGTGTGTGTGTGTGTGTGTGTGTGTGTGTGTGTGCGTGTGTGCGTGCGTGCGTGCGTGCGTGCGTGCGTGCGCGCGCGTGTGTGTGTGTGTGAGAGAGAGAGAGAGAGAGGGCGTGCGTGAGTGTGCGTGTGTCGATCATCAAGTTCCTGGAGATCGCCAGTGGGGTGTCGTTTGACATCAGTTGAGAGGGAGTGGAGAGTGAGGGAGTGGAGAGTGAGGGAGTGAGTGAATGAAAGAGAGTGCATGAATGTGCATGTGTGTGCATCCATGCCTGTGTATGCGCATCAGTGCACGAGTGCCGATTATCAAGTTCTTGGAGATTGAGAGTGGAGTGGTGTTTGACATGAGGTGAGAGGGTGATTCTGGGAGTGGGGGAGTTAGTAATGAGTATATGTGTATGTATGATGCGTGTGCATGTGTATATGCGCATGTGTATGAGTGCACGTGTGCCGATCATCATGTTCCTGAAGATCGCCCGTGGAGTGGCGTTTGACATCAGGTGGGAGGGGTTGCATGAGTGCGCATGTGCATGTGCACTCGCAGCCCACCTTTTTACTAATAACAGCACCCGCACTCGCACGCATGTGCATGTTCCTGAACCAGAAATTGCTTTTTTGAGGCGCCTCAAAAGGGGTTGCATGAGTGCGCATGAGCATGTTCCTGAATCAGAAATTGCCAGGTTTACTCCAGTTTTGAGATGTCTGAAGAACTACCCGGCCCTCTCCTGCCCCTTTCCTCCTCTTTATCTGAATGCCCGGCCCTCCTCCCCCTCTTGCCCCTTTCCTCCTCTTTATCTTTGTCTGAATGCCCGGCCCTCTTCCCTCTCCTGCCCCTTTCCTCCTCTTTATCTTTGTCTGAATGCCTGGCCCTCTTCCCCCTCCTGCCCCTTTCCTCCCTCTCTTTATCTGAATGCTCTTGGCAGTTTCGATACGTCCAACGGACCTGAGACTGCCAAGTTCATCCTAGCTCTGCCCCACCCTCCCCTCCCCTCCCCTTCCTTCCCCTCCCCTCCCCTTCCTTCCCCTCCCCTCCGCCCCCCCGAACTTGCTCCTCCCAGTTTCGATACGTCCAACGGACCAGAGACTGCCAAGTTCATCCGGGTAAGTTCCCCTTGCAATCGCTTCTTCTTGTTCCCCTTGCAATTTGCTCTACTTTGAAAAAAGGGCACGGATCAAGTGAGAAAGGAGGGGAGGGAGGGAAAATGGAATTGCACCAGAGCGTTGGTATGTATCAATCCTTTTTCCGCACTTCCTCTCCTCGTTCCTCCTTCCCTCTCTCAGAACTCCATGAAAGCCATGCCAGCGCTGCACCGCATATCCCTCGTGCTCAACCTCTTCCTGCACCAGACGGTTGCTTGATGCGTCTGAAAAGTATATCTCATCTCTGCTCCTTGTTCCTTCCTTCCTTCTCCTCCTCCTTCTCCTCCTACATTCCCTCACCCAGAAATCCATGAAGGCGATGCCAGCATTGTTTTGAGACGTCTCAAAACACTTCTTCATACTCATGAAGGCCATGCTGGCATTGCGCCCCGTCTCACTCGTGCTCAAGCTCTTCTTGCAGCAGAGGGTTGAGTGATTGAAGCATCTCAAGTCTATCTCCCACCTCTTCCCTGTTCCTTCTCTTCCGTCCCCCTACACAGAAATCAATGAAGGCCATGCCAGCGCTGCGCCCCGTCTCGCTCGTACTCAAGCTCTTCTTGCACCAGGCGGTCAAACGAGACGACCCAAGCCTTGTTTTGTACTCCTCTCCCATTCTCTGGCTGTTCCTTCTTCTCTTGCCCGCCCTACACAGAAATCCATGAAGGTCATTCCAGCGCTGCGCCCTATCTCTCTCGTGCTCAAGCCTTTTCTCCAGCAGAGGGGGGGTTGGGTTTAGCTGTCTCAACAACCCAACCCTTGTTTGCTTTCCCTTCCTCTGTTGCTCAATGTCTTGTCACCCCTTATCCAGAAATCCATGAAGGCCATGCCAGCACTCCGTCCTATCTATCTCGTGCTCAAGCTCTTCCTCCAGCAGAGGGTTGATTGAATGACACGTCTCAATCATCGTTTGCATTTGGTTCCTCTCTACCTTCTTGTCTTGCCCCCGTCTTTTCTCAGAAATCCATGAAGGCCATGCCAGCGCTGCGCCCCATATCCCTCGTGCTCAAGCTCTTTTTCACAGCAGAGGGTTTTTTCAATGAGAATTCTCAATCCAACACTCTTTCTAGTTTTGAGGCGCCTCAAAACTAGATCTTGTTCGCAGCAGAGGGTTTTTTCAATGAGAATTCTCAATCCAACACTCTTTCGCATTCCGTTTTCTGTCCCCACTTGTCTTGCCCCCCCTACACAGAAATCCATGAAGGCCATGCCAGCACTGCGACCCATCTCTCTGGTGCTCAAGCTTTTTCTCCAGCAGAGGGGCCTCAACGAGGTGTTCACAGGGGGGATCGGCTCGTACGCCCTGCTGGTCATGATCATGGCACATCTACAGGTGTGTGGTAAGGGGTTGCAATGTGTACTTTGCGGTGCAGTGCGGTGCAGCGCAGTGCTCTGCGCCTCATCTCCCTGGTGCTGCTGAAGCTCTTCCTGCAGCAGAGGGGCCTCAACGAGGTGTTCACAGGGGGCATCGGCTCGTACGCCCTGCTGGTCATGATCATGGCACACCTACAGGAGGGTTCTTTGGGGTTACAAGCTGTCCTGTGCGGTGCAGTGCAGTGCAGCATAGTGCACTGCGCTCCATATCCCTCGTGTTGAAGCTTTTTCTGCATCAGAGGGGCCTCAACGAGGTTTTCACAGGAGGAATTGGGTCGTACGCCCTGCTGGTCATGATCATGGCGCTCTTACAGGTGTGTGGTAAGGGGTTGCAATGTGTACTCTGCGGTGCAGTGCGGTGCAGCGCAGTGCACTGCGATCCATCTCCCTGGTGTTCAAGCTCTTCATGCAGCAGAGGGGCCTCAACGAGGTGTTCACAGGGGGGATTGGGTCGTATGCGCTCCTAGTCATGATCATGGCACACTTACAGGTGGGTTCTTTGGGGTTACAAGCTGTCCTGTGTTGAAGCTCGTGCTGCAGCAGATGGGCCTTAACGAGGTGTTCACAGGAGAAATTGGCTCATACGCCCTTCTAGTCATGGTCATGGCGCATCTACAGGTGTGTGGTAAGGGGTTTCAATGTGTACTCTGCGGTGCAGTGCGGTGCAGCGCAGTGCACTGCGCCCCATCTCCCTGGTGTTCAAGCTCTTCTTGCAGCAGAGGGGCCTCAACGAGGTGTTCACAGGAGGCATCGGCTCGTACGCCCTTCTAGTCATGATCATGGCGCATCTTCAGGTGTGGTAGGGGGTTACAAGCTGTATGTACTGTGCAGTGCAGAGTTGACCTTTGAGTCGACTCAAAAGTCAAGCTGTATGTACTGTGCAGTGCAGTGCAGCAGAGGAGAGCACAGTGCAGCGCCCCATCTCCCTGGTGTTAAAGCTCTTCTTGCAGTACAGGGGCCTCAACGAGGTGTTCACGGGAGGCATTGGCTTGTACGCCCTTCTAGTCATGATCATGGCGCACTTACAGGTGCGTGGTAAGGGGTTACAATGTGTACTCTGCGGTGCAGTGCGGTGCAGCGCAGTGCGCGCCCCATATCCCTCGTCTTGAAGCTCTTCCTCCAGCAGAGGGGCCTCAGTGAGGTGTTCACGGGAGGCATCGGCTCGTATGCCCTTCTAGTCATGATCATGGCACAACTACAGGTGGGTCCTTTGAGGTTACAAGCTGTCCTGTGCGGTGCAGTGCAGTGCAGCACAGTGCGTTGACCTGCATATCCCTTGTGTTGAAGCTCTTCCTGCAGCAGAGGGGCCTCAACGAGGTGTTCACAGGAGGGATTGGCTCGTACGCCCTGCAGGTCATGATCATGGCTCACCTGCAGGTGGGTTCTTTGGGGTTACAAGCTGTCCTGTGCGGTGCAGTGCAGTGCAGCACGACACAACGCACTGCGCCCACATATCCCTCGTGCTGAAGCGCTTCCTTCCTGCAGCAGAGGGGCCTCAACTCAACGAGGTGACCACAGGAGGGATTGGTTCCTCTACTACCCTCCTAGTCATGGTCATGGTATGTTTCTTGAGAATTCTCAAAAAACATACCCTCCTAGTCATGGTCATGGTATGTTTCTTGAGAATTCTCAAAAAACATACCCTACTCCTAGTCATGGCCATGACACACCTGCAGGTGCGTCCTCTCCTCATACCGTGCCTGAAGAACGGATGTGCTCGTATGCCAGCCTGGTTATGATCGTGGCACACACTGAACCGGAAGTCACGTGTAGAGAAGAGAGGGTGTTTTTGAGACGTCTCAAAAGGCAAGGCACCTCGGATGCCCTCCTGGTGAGTTTTGAGTCGACTCAAAGGCAAGGCACCTCGGATGCCCTCCTGGTTATGATCATGGCATGGCACACACTGCCCCGGAATCATGAACCTTTTGTTCTATTTGAGGTGACTTTTGAGTCAACTCAAAAGAGGTGGCTTTTGAGTCGACTCAAAAGAGGTGGCTTTTGAGTCGACTCAAAAGAGGTGGCTTTTGAGTCGACTCAAAAGAGGTGGCTTTTGAGTCGACTCAAAAGAGGTGGCTTTTGAGTCGAATCAAAAGAGGTGGCTTTTGAGTCGACTCAAAAGTCACCATGAACCTCTTGTTTTATTGGTTCAACGAGGGGGCTCAAATGAATCGGAATCCCTCTATCCCTTCCCTCCGTGCCTCCTCCCTTCCTCCTGCAGACCCACCACAGCCGCTTTTCAAGCGGCAAGCTAGAGCAGAATCTGGGCGTACTGCTGGCGAGTGCAGCAGCAAGCAAAGAAGTGCTGTTGTGGGTACGATAACCCGCCTCCCTCCCCCTCCCTTTCCCTTTTGTGCCTCTTCCCTCCACCCGTTGTTCTATGCAGACCCACCACAGCCGCTTTTCTAGTGGAAAGCTAGAGCAGAACCTGGGCGTGCTGCTGGTGAGTGAGTGAGTGAGTGAGCGAGTGAGTGCGGTGTGGGGTGTCATTAGTGAGTCCTCCTTTCTATATGCAGAACCAGCACGACCGCTTTTCTAGCTGCGAGCTAGAGCAGAAGAACCTGGGCGTCCTGCTGGTGAGTCCCTTTATACACCTGGGCGCTTTGCTTAGGTATTGAGCTGCTTCTGTGGCTCTTTTGATGAAACACAACCTAGTTGCTTTTCAAGCGAGGTCGTTTCAGGTCAGAGCAGAGTCTGTGCGTCCTGCTGGTGAGTCCCTCAATACACCCTGACGCTTTGCCTTGGTTTTGAGCTGCTGCAGTGCCGCGGCTCTTTTGATGAAACACAACCTTTTGCTTATCAAGCTTTTGAGGCGCCTCAAAAGCGTCCTCTCTGCTACTGCAGCCAGGAGACGACTTTTGAGGCGCCTCAAAAGCGTCCTCTCTGCTACTGCAGCCAGGAGACGACTTTTGAGGCGCCTCAAAAGCGTCCTCTCTGCTACTGCAGCCAGGAGACGACTTTTGAGGCGCCTCAAAGGCGTCCTCTCTGCTACTGCAGCCAGGAGACGACTTTTGAGGCGCCTCAAAAGCGTCCTCTCTGCTACTGCAGCCAGGAGACGACTTTTGAGGCGCCTCAAAAGCGTCCTCTCTGCTACTGCAGCCCTTCGAAACATGAGTCAGGGTGACCCCTGGGATACCAAAAGCGTCCTCTCTGCTACTGCAGCCCTTCGAAACATGAGTCAGTCAGGGTGACCCCTGGGATACCAAAAGCGTCCTCTCTGCTACTGCAGCCCTTCGAAACATGAGTCAGTCAGGGTGACCCCTGGGATACCAAAAGCGTCCTCTCTGCTACTGCAGGCCTTCGAAACATGAGTCAGTCAGGGTGACCCCTGGGATACCAAAAGCGTCCTCTCTGCTACTGCAGCCCTTCGAAACATGAGTCAGTCAGGGTGACCCCTGGGATACCAAAAGCGTCCTCTCTGCTACTGCAGCCCTTCGAAACATGAGTCAGTCAGGGTGACCCCTGGGATACCAAAAGCGTCCTCTCTGCTACTGCAGCCCTTCGAAACATGAGTCAGGGTGACCCCTGGGATACCAAAAGCGTCCTCTCTGCTACTGCAGCCCTTCGAAACATGAGTCAGGGTGACCCCTGGGATACCAAAAGCGTCCTCTCTGCTACTGCAGCCCTTCGAAACATGAGTCAGGGTGACCCCTGGGATACCAAAAGCGTCCTCTCTGCTACTGCAGCCCTTCGAAACATGAGTCAGTCAGGGTGACCCCTGGGATACCAAAAGCGTCCTCTCTGCTACTGCAGCCCTTCGAAACATGAGTCAGTCAGGGTGACCCCTGGGATACCAAAAGCGTCCTCTCTGCTACTGCAGCCCTTCGAAACATGAGTCAGTCAGGGTGACCCCTGGGATACCAAAAGCGTCCTCTCTGCTACTGCAGCCCTTCGAAACATGAGTCAGTCAGGGTGACCCCTGGGATACCAAAAGCGTCCTCTCTGCTACTGCAGCCCTTCGAAACATGAGTCAGGGTGACCCCTGGGATACCAAAATCGTCCTCTCGGCTACTGCAGCCCTTCGAACCATGAGTCAGGGTGACCCCTGGGATACCAAAAGCGTCCTCTCTGCTACTGCAGCCCTTCGAAACATGAGTCAGTCAGGGTGACCCCTGGGATACCAAAAGCGTCCTCTCTGCTACTGCAGCCCTTCGAAACATGAGTCAGTCAGGGTGACCCCTGGGATACCAAAAGCGTCCTCTCTGCTACTGCAGCCCTTCGAAACATGAGTCAGTCAGGGTGACCCCTGGGATACCAAAAGCGTCCTCTCTGCTACTGCAGCCCTTCGAAACATGAGTCAGTCAGGGTGACCCCTGGGATACCAAAAGCGTCCTCTCTGCTACTGCAGCCCTTCGAAACATGAGTCAGTCAGGGTGACCCCTGGGATACCAAAAGCGTCCTCTCTGCTACTGCAGCCCTTCGAAACATGAGTCAGTCAGGGTGACCCCTGGGATACCAAAAGCGTCCTCTCTGCTACTGCAGCCCTTCGAAACATGAGTCAGTCAGGGTGACCCCTGGGATACCAAAAGCGTCCTCTCTGCTACTACAGCCCTTCGAAACATGAGTCAGTCAGGGTGACCCCTGGGATACCAAAAGCGTCCTCTCTGCTACTGCAGCCCTTCGAAACATGAGTCAGTCAGGGTGACCCCTGGGATACCAAAAGCGTCCTCTCTGCTACTGCAGCCCTTCGAAACATGAGTCAGTCAGGGTGACCCCTGGGATACCAAAAGCGTCCTCTCTGCTACTGCAGCCCTTCGAAACATGAGTCAGTCAGGGTGACCCCTGGGATACCAAAAGCGTCCTCTCTGCTACTGCAGCCCTTCAAAACATGAGTCAGTCAGGGTGACCCCTGGGATACCAAAAGCGTCCTCTCTGCTACTGCAGCCCTTCGAAACATGAGTCAGTCAGGGTGACCCCTGGGATACCAAAAGCGTCCTCTCTGCTACTGCAGCCCTTCGAAACATGAGTCAGTCAGGGTGACACCTGGGATACCAAAAGCGTCCTCTCTGCTACTGCAGCCCTTCGAAACATGAGTCAGTCAGGGTGACCCCTGGGATACCAAAAGCGTCCTCTCTGCTACTGCAGCCCTTCGAAACATGAGTCAGTCAGGGTGACCCCTGGGATACCAAAAGCGTCCTCTCTGCTACTGCAGCCCTTCGAAACATGAGTCAGTCAGGGTGACCCCTGGGATACCAAAAGCGTCCTCTCTGCTACTACAGCCCTTCGAAACATGAGTCAGTCAGGGTGACCCCTGGGATACCAAAAGCGTCCTCTCTGCTACTGCAGCCCTTCGAAACATGAGTCAGTCAGGGTGACCCCTGGGATACCAAAAGCGTCCTCTCTGCTACTGCAGCCCTTCGAAACATGAGTCAGTCAGGGTGACCCCTGGGATACCAAAAGCGTCCTCTCTGCTACTGCAGCCCTTCGAAACATGAGTCCATGCTACTGCTACCTGGTTGCTTATCAACCTGGTTGCTTATCAACCTGGTTGCTTATCAACCTGGTTGCTTATCAAGCTTTTGAGGCCGTTTCGTTTTCATTCAAGCTAGAGCAGAACCTGAGGAGAATCTCTTCTCTAGTCGTATCGCTGGCGAGGAGATTGCAACAAGGTCCTGTTAGAGTGCGGTGTTATTAGTGTAGTGAGGTTCCTACTAATGAGGGATGCTTTAGGGCGTACACTTGTGGTCATGGTAGGGTGGAATGGAATCACAACGCGTCTGGCACAGCACATGCAGTATGCATGCTCCCTCCCTCCCTTGATTTGACTTCTTCCATCTGTGGCCCGCATGGCCCACCCATCTCTCACGCACCTTAGGGCGTGTCACCTCCAACTTCAAGATCGTCGCACGTTCGAACGGGCGACGGGTTTCCACCAGTGTCGTTTTTCCTCGTGAGAGTGTCTCAAAAAGCTCGGCACAGGGGCATCAATGCTTCAAGCAAACACCTGTGCTTGCTTGTCCCTCGGCTGTGCTTGCTTGTCCCTCGGCTGTGCTTGCTTGTCCCTCGGCTGTGCTTGCTTGTCCCTCGGCTGTGCTTGCTTGTCCCTCGGCTGTGCTTGCTTGTCCCTCGGCTGTGCTTGCTTGTCCCTCGGCTGTGCTTGCTTGTCCCTCGGCTGTGCTTGCTTGTCCCTCGGCTGTGCTTGCTTGTCCCTCGGCTGTGCTTGCTTGTCCCTCGGCTGTGCTTGCTTGTCCCTCGGCTGTGCTTGCTTGTCCCTCGGCTGTGCTTGCTTGTCCCTCGGCTGTGCTTGCTTGTCCCTCGGCTGTGCTTGCTTGTCCCTCGGCTGTGCTTGCTTGTCCCTCGGCTGTGCTTGCTTGTCCCTCGGCTGTGCTTGCTTGTCCCTCGGCTGTGCTTGCTTGTCCCTCGGCTGTGCTTGCTTGTCCCTCGGCTGTGCTTGCTTGTCCCTCGGCTGTGCTTGCTTGTCCCTCGGCTGTGCTTGCTTGTCCCTCGGCTGTGCTTGCTTGTCCCTCGGCTGTGCTTGCTTGTCCCTCGGCTGTGCTTGCTTGTCCCTCGGCTGTGCTTGCTTGTCCCTCGGCTGTGCTTGCTTGTCCCTCGGCTGTGCTTGCTTGTCCCTCGGCTGTGCTTGCTTGTCCCTCGGCTGTGCTTGCTTGTCCCTCGGCTGTGCTTGCTTGTCCCTCGGCTGTTATCTCCCACCCCTCCCTCCTCCCTTTCGCAGATTGACTTCTTCCATCTGTACGGCCGTGGCCTCAACACGACACATGTGGTGGATGGCATGAGTGTGCCTGCTACCTTGCTTCCGCCTGCTGTGTTCTCACAATCCCCCACTCCCTTGCTCCATGTCGTTCCCCCTCGCAGATTGACTTGTTCCATCTGTACGGCCGTGGCCTCAACACAATAGACGTGGGGGTGTGAGCCCTTCAAATCAAACAACACCTTTGCTCCTTTGCATCATAATTCCCCCCCCTTCTGTTTTGCAGATTGACTTTTTCCACTTGTACGGGCGTGGCCTGAACACAATAGACGTGGGAGTGTCGGCGCGGCATGGGGGGAGGTTCTTCGTCAAGAGGGATAGAGGGTGAGCAGTGTGGCATGGGGTCAATGCCAGTCAATGGTTGGTGTCAGTCAATGGTGGTCAACGCCAGTCAATGCTGTTCAATGTCAGTCAATGCTGGTTGTGGCCCCTCAACACAGCAGATGTAGGGGTGTCGGATCGGCATGGGGGGAGATTCTTCGTCAAGAGGGATAGAGGGTGAGTGAGTGATGTGGGGTCAATCCCTCTCCATAGTGTTTATGCCAGTCAGCAGTGGTCAACGCCAGTCAATGCTGGTCGTGGCCCCTCAACACAGCAGTAATGATAGTCAACGTTAGTCAACTCGCTTTACCTTTTCTCTTCTTGTTCCCCCCTCGTCCCAGCATGGTACAGTACAGCAGAATCGCTTCATGCTGGCAGTGGAGGATCCGCAGATGCTGGTCAATGCCGGTCAATGCCAGTTTCAATGCCAGTCAATGCGAGTCAATGCTAGTCAATGCCTGCACTTAATCGCTTATTCCTCCTTGTTCTTTCCCAATTCCAGCATGGCGCAGCAGAACCGTTTCATGCTGGCGATGGAGGATGCGCAGATGCCAGTCAATGCAAGTCAATGTCAGTCAGTTCTGGTCAACGTCATTCAACCCACTTGAGCCTTCCCTTTCTGTTCCCCTATCCCAGCATGGTGCAGCAGAATCGCTTCATGCTGGCAGTGGAGGATCCGCAGATGCCCAGCAACGACCTGAGCAGGGGCAGCCACAACATCCACAATGTAAGGGCATTGACTAGCATTGACTGGCATTGACTGGCATTGACTGGCATTGACTGGCATCGGAGGATCCCCAGATGCCCAGCAATGATCTCAGCAGGGGAAGCCACAACACTCACAATGTAAGGGAAGCAGGCTGCATGTTGGCTTATACGTCACCACCTCATGCTGGCTTGGTGGTGGACAGTTCGCAGATGCCTTTCCAACGATCTGAGCAGGGGCAGCCACAACAGCCACAACAGCCACAACAGCCACAACAGCCACAACAGCCACAACATTAGGACGAGTCACCTGTTGGATCCGCAGACCATTAGGTCGAAACTATTTCCCTATGCAGGATCCGCAGATGCCGTCCAATGACCTCAGCAGGGGCAGCCACAACACAACATCCACAATCTAAGTCAAGCAGCCTGCCCGTTAGCTTATGAGCCTGCTGGCAGAAGAGGATCCCGAGATGCCGTCCAACGAGCATGGGGGAGGCTTGGCTGTAGAGTAGAGGATCCCCGGGTGCTGAGCAGGGGATGAACACCGGCGTTGCACCACAAGAGAGAGAAGCACCCAACATGAGTAGAGGAGAGCAGGGGGGGAGCATCACAATGCTGGTGATTGAGGAGGATCCCCGGAAGCCGTCCAATGACCTGGTAATGAGACGACTTTTGAGGCGCCTCAAAAGCATCACAACGCTGGTGATAGAGTAGGATCTCCGGAAGCTGTCCAATGTGACCTTAGCCGGGGCAGCCACAACATTCACAATTCAAGGGAAGGAAAAGAGGAAGAGAGTGAGGAGGAGAAGGGGGGGGTGTCGCGATCTGAGCAGGAGCAGCCACAACATTCGCAGTTCAAGAGAGGAAGAACAAAGTGAAGGCACCACATGAGTAGACCTGAGCAGGAGCGGGGGCGGGGGCGGGGGCGGGGGCGGGGGCGGGGGGGGGGGGGGGGGGGGGGCGGGGGGGCATTACAATGCTGGCGGTGGAGTGGAGGATCCGCAGATGCCGTCCAACGACCTCAGCAGGGGCAGCCACAACATCCACAACGCCCTCCTCACCATGCCCACACTCTCCTATCTTCTACCTCCACGCCCACGTCACCACGCCCGCAACATCCCACAACGCCTCATTACCTTCTCGAGCTGACTTTTGAGTCGACTCGAGGTGACTTTTGAGTCGACTCAAAAGCCACACTCCCCTATCTTCTACCTCCACGCCCACGTCACCACGCCCGCAACATACCACAACAACTCACTACCTTCTCACACCTACGTTGCGGACGACGCGTCTAGCGTCTTAGACGCTGGCGCCTAGACGCAGCGTCTAAGACGCTAGACGCGCTTTTAGGCCAGATTAGACACAGGATTAGACGCAGGATCAGACGCAAGCCCGGGCAGGCAAAAAAAAAAAGTTCTCACCATGCACACACTCCCCTATCTTCTTAGGTGCCCTAAATCACTCTTCCTTTCTCCCTTCCCCCACACTCTCTCTCCCCCAGGTTCGCCTTGCCCATTAGAGAGCTCACTACCTCTTCACCACACCCACACTCCCTCCCTACCTCCCATTCCTCATTTCCTTTTCTGTTAGCCTCTGGAACACACCTCCCCTCCGTCTCCGCTCTCCTTTCTCCCATTCCTCTCCTCCCTCCCTTCCTCCTAGGTCCGCCTTGCCTTCCAGAGAGCCCACTACCTCCTCACCACGCCCAGTCTCCCCTCCTACCAGCAATCAGTTGTTCTTCTTCTCCTAGCCTCTGAACTAAACCACTCCTGTGACTCACCTCTCCTCCCTCCCTTCCCCCAGGTCCGCCTTGCCTTCCAGCGAGCTCACTACCTGCTCACCACGCCCACACTCCTTTAGTACCGAGGCGCCTCTTACAAACTTTCCCTTCTTCCTGCCTTTCTCTCTCCCCCACCAGGTTCGCCTTGCCTTTCAGCGAGCTCACTACCTGCTCACCACGCCCACACTCCCTACCTCCAGTCGCTCTCAATCTCAAACCAATGCTGCTGGCGCTGCTTTTGCTTCTGCCAGCAGTGCCAGCGGCAGCCTGCTGGCTAGGCTGATACGTCTTGAGTCTGCCATTGCGAATAGACCGCCCCCACCTAGAATGGTGCCGCCACCACTTGTGGGAAACCGTGGAATGGGGAGTGATAGTGCTGCTGCCACTGCTGCCGCTGCTGTTGGCACTGCTATTGCTGCTGCTGGTGCTTCTGCTGCTGGCAGTACTGCTGCCACTGCTCCTGCTGCTGCTGCGGTCAAGGCTAAGAAAGGAAGAAAGAAGAAGGATGGTGCAGCAGCCGCTGCGACGGAGGGAAATGAAGCAACAGCAGCAGCGGTGGAAGGGCCAACAGAATCGGCTGCCTTGCGCGAGAAGAAGACTAAGAAGGGGAGGCGGGGCGAGAAGAGTGAGGAAGGGAAGGATGGTGGGTTGAAGGAAGGTGGAGTGATAAACAGCTGTGATGCAGAAAGGGAGGGGCCAACAGAAGCGGTTGGCCTGGGCGAGAAGAAGACTAAGAAGGGGAGGCGGGGTGAGAAGAGTGAGGAAGGGAAGGATGGTGGGTTGAATCAGGTTGAATTGGTAGGGGAGGCGGATGATTCGGGTGAAATGAAGAGAAAAGGGGCCAAGAAGGAAAGGAGAGAGAAGGAAAGGAGAGAGAAGGAAAGTAGAGAGAAGGAAAGGAGAGAGAAGGAAAGGAGAGAGGAGAGTGGGGAGGATGTTGGGTTGAAGCAGGTTGATTTGGTAGAAGAGGCGGAGGATTTGGGTGAAATAAAGAGAGAAGGGGCCAAGAAGGAAAGGAGAGAGAAGGAAAGGAGAGCGAACGAGGAGGGAGACAAGGGAAGGGAGGATATAGAGGGGAGTGGTGGTGCTGAGAGGATGGACGGTGGGGAGGATGTGGGTGTGCAGAGTGTGCGTGGGGAGAGGAAAGAGAGGAAGGGAAAGAAGCGGAAGGTGTTAGTAGAAGAGACTCAGGCTGAGGAGAGGGAGGAGAGGGAGGAAGAAGGGGTGGGAGTTGAAGCGGAGGAGAAGAAGAATGGGTTTAAAGAGATGGCGGAAAGGGATGAGGGGATGGAAGAGAGGGAGGATTTGGAGGAAGAGGGGAGGGAGGATAGGGAGGAAAGGGCAGATGGAGGAACAAAACAGGAGGGGGAGGAGAGGGAGGAGAGAGCGCGAAAGGGAAAGGGCAAGAGAGTGAGGGAGGGGAAAAGAAAGAGGGATGAAAAGAAGAGGCTGCGGGAGGAGGCTCGGAAGCAAGCAGCTGAAAACAGTGCAGCTGAAACAGGAGCAGAAGGGGTTGCAGAGCAGTTAACGGTGGTGAGGGAGAGAGATGGCAGTTTGGAGGTGAGAGGAGTGGAGAGTTTGAGGGGAAGGGAGGAGGAAGAGAGCCTTCCAAGAGGGGGAGGCAGGGCAAATAGTGTTGGTGGTGATGATGATGAGAATGAGGGTGGGAGGCGGAAACGGAAGAGGGAGAAGCGGGGGCGAGCGTTCATGGATATGCTAGGAGTAAGTGATAACGGCAGCAAGTGATGAGGTAGGGGCAAGAGGGGTGAGAGGGGCGGGTGGGAACGTAGGAGGGAGAAGCGGGGGCGAGCGTTCACGGAGATGTTCTGAGTGAACAATAATGGCTGCAAGTGATGAGTTGGGGACACGAGGAAGAGCGATGGAGGTAGTGATGGTGAGGGTGAGGGTGGCAGGCAGGCAGAAACGCAAGAGGGAGCAGCGGGGCCAAATGTGATCAGGCTGCACTAAGTTGATGGTACTACGACCAGGCTATGAGGACCGCGCCACCTTGGATTGCCATAGCTACCACTCGTCACGGTGTTGAACGCTAACCACCAAGACCTGGTGGTGACGTGTGTGGTGGGTGGCAGTGATTCAGCTCATGTAAGAATGGGAATGCAGTGATAATGGATGAGATTTTTGTTTCAAGACCAACCTAGCTTGGACGCAGTAGTTTTTTTTATTCACGTATCAAAACATTGCTGTGTGCATTGTAGAGTCTAATCATTAAGTATTGTAGAGTTGAATGCAAAGCATTTGAACGAGGGAAAATATGCCACAAGTAACGATCATGGGACTCGATAACGTGACTGGTAAAAAATAAACGCGTACGGTAACTGTATCAGGTTTCCTGACGGGTCTCGTAAGGGGGGTCACGGATTCAGTCACTAACAACAGGTAAAAAATCACGCGGATGGTCACACATGAGACTCCCGCCAAAAAATAATTAAGCTCTACAACATTCCCGCTCGCGCTCAGCTTATCAGCGAATTTCAAAAAAATCTAAAACCCAATCGGAATTGAATGCGATTCGGGAACGGATCAACCCTAAACACCTGGCGAATTGTGTTTAGGGTTGATTCATCCGAAAATGCATCCAGGTTCGTTTTGGGTATTATCTTTTTTGGGCGGGAGTTTCATCTGTGACCATTCGCGTTATTTTTCCCCAGTTGATTGTGACTGATTCCGTGAAACGTTTTATCAACCGCGTGAAAACACCCTTTGCAGTGACCGTACCCTTTATTTTTGTATCAAAAATGTTTCGAGTCCCATACTGGTTACGAATGACATATTTCCCCTTTGAACGATCCCCCTTTCGAGCTGAAAACACTTTCTTGTCACCTTTTAGAGGTAAATCGAGTCCTGCAACGATTTTTGTGTCAGACTTGAAATCTGACACATTCACCGTGTCAGATTCCGGAATTCGTTCTGATACCCAGTTGCATGAGCTTTGCACGGATCGACGGTTGTTTTTGCTACAGATTTTACACCCCCACTCCAAATTCGCTTGTACATCCACAAACCATTGATTGGAAAAAATATGTGAACAGGTAATACATGGTTGCGTTATAATGATCACCCTGGCTATCAGATAAGGAATTTGTAGCAGTTATAGAATTTAAAAAAAAACTACCCACTTACAAATTATAGCACTCAATGCCTAAAAAACCAAATCAGAAAGTTTTTACCATCAGGGAAGGGAGGTGGGGCAGAGAGGGGAATGGAAGGAGAGGGAACAGGAAGGAACAGGCGGGGAACTGGCAGGACAGGGAGGCGTGAAAAAGGGGACCCCTGTGAAAATCTCAGTGGCTGTTGACAGCCAAACTGCTGTCAGGCTACACTCAAGCTGCTGCCTGCAGCTGTCCAGATGCGGCGGACTGCTCTCGCAGCAACACCAGCAATTCCTTCGCCTTGTCCCCTGCTGAACCCGTCGCCTCACGCGTAACCCTATGCAACGCAGGCACAACCCCTTCGCGACCAATCACCTTCCTAGCCTCCTCGTCGTGCCTCGCCAGCAGCAGCAGCGCGCTAACAGCTTCCTGCCTAGCTTTCTGCGAAGTTGTTAAATCTAACACATCCGCGATTACCTCCAACCCTCCATTACCGTTCGCGGATTTCGCTTCCTTAATTGCACGCCTGCCCGTGGAGGAACAAGCGATGAACGAAACTAATGCCATCGCTCGATTTTCCAGATCCTCGTTCGATTCCTGAACCATATTCAACAGTATATTCAGCCCACCGGAGTTTAAAAACTCCTCTAACAACTCCCGGTGATGCTCGCCGCCGCTTAGCAAAGCGAGTACTGCCAACACCGCGTCGATTTTCCCCCGCGTGCTGCCCGAAAGGAATATTTCAACCAAGGCAGGGATGGCTCCGGCTTTCCCAATTCGCAGCTTAATTTCTGCTAGCTGCTCCCGAGCCTTTAAAACAGCTGTTTCGGCAAAAGGTGTGGATGACTGTGGGGGCGTCGATTCCAGTTTACCCTGCTCCCCAGCCCCATCCGCCATAGCGTCTGCACCCCCGGCTGTAGCATTCGCTGCCCCGGCTGTAGCATTCGCTGCCCCGGCTGTAGCATCCGCTGCCCCGGCTGTGGCATCCGCAGCCCCAGCTGTTGCCCCCACCCCGGCTGTCGCAGCTGCACCCTCTCCTGCTGCAGCAGCCTCTGTTGACCCTGCTTCTTCCCCTGCTCCGGCAGTAGCGTAGCTAACCCCTGCTGCTGCTTGAAGTGCACCCTCAGGCTGGCTGGGACTGTTGCCGGCACCTGAAAAAACACCTGAGAATTCCCTTGAATCGTAGGAGGGACGCAGAAGCGTGGTAGACGCTGTAGGGGACTTTAAAGCTGGGGAAGGGGGGAGGGACGGGGTGTGCGGTGATGACCTGGCGGATACTGATGGTGACATGGACACAGCGCCAACTGACGTGGATCGGCCCCGGGTCGGGCGCGACGGCGACGGCCCCCTTGACCCCCTTCCGCCTTTCCCGCCGCCATTTCCGCTGCTACTGACAGTCTGGATGCCCCACGCAAGGCAGAAGAGCGCAGCCGCTGCGTTTTCCCGCGCCGCTGATTTCTCCGCCCGAAGCGCCTTAACCAGAGCCTCCAGCCCGCCCTCCGCGCCGCTGACGATCGCGTCGCGCCCGCCTTCCTCACGACATACGTTGTATAGAACGGTCACCGCGTGCTCCACTGTGTCGCCGTCAGGCGACTCGGCGACGAGATTAATCAGGAACTGGACCCCGCCGGCCTGAATCAACCGCTTCTTATTCTCCGGGGTCGCCTTAATCGCCGCGCGCACCGCCTTCACCGCGTCGCGGATCGCGGTGACGTCCGCTTGACCAATCGCCACAATTAGCGGGCCGAGACGGAGGGGCTCGACCGGGGCAGCTGGTTGAGCGGCGCGCTGTGGAGAAGGGGAGCGAGCGTACCGCCCGGAGAAGCTTCCGCTTCCGCCAGGCCCCCTGCGAGGGGGCCGGCGGCCGGGGGTGCTGCTCGCGACGGCGAGCGGGCAGAAGGCGTACATGTCGGCGTTGCTCACGGCGCTCTTCACGCCGTAGCTTTCAGGGCTGCGCTCGAGCGACGCGGAGCGCGGTCCGGAGGAGGAGAGGGGAGGATTAGCCGACGTGAAAGTGTGAGCGTGAGCGTAAATGCAGGTCGCACTTCCAATCGAGTCGTCGCGGCGCGAAAACTCATTGCGACGAGACGGTTCGAAGCGCGCGGAGAGAGGTGACACGGGAACTGGCGACGCGGCGAGAGGCGACACGGGCCCGTCCACGTTACCGTTGAAACTACGCGAACGAACCTGCATGCCACTCTGATTTTCTCCCGCTGCTGGAGCCGCACCTGCTACCTTGCGCGAATCGGTGCCGCGATTCCCGCCGGCAATGACGCCGCTAGAGCCGCCGCTGCTGCTGCTCCCGCTTGTGATGTTAATCTCCGCGCTGACGTTGCGGCTACCGCTGCTGCTGCTGCTGCCACTGGCGGGGCCAGTAGTGTCCGTCGTGCTGCGTCTAACGTTGGCAGCGGGGAAAGGGCGCAAGTTCGGCGTTGTTTTAGAGAGCGGGGAGAGAGGCAAGGGGGAAGCGGAGGGGGAAGCTGAGGGGGACCGGGTGGGAGACGGGGAAGGGGACGCTGAGGGAGAGGGGGTAGGGGAGAGCGAGCCGCGACGCGACGACGCGGCGAGGGATGCGGAGAGAGGGGAGAACAACGGCGGGATGCACGATGGCGTGGTGGTAGACGGCGGCGTGCGCGAGAACGATGCGTTGTACGCGCTTCGAAGCGACGCGAGGTTCTCCTGGCTGTTGTTATGGCGGTGTGAAGCGAACGACGTTATTAGCGGCGGCAGACGCGACGCGAACACGGACAGCGTGCACGCGACCTGGCCCGTGGGGGAAAGCGGTTCGTCGTCGTCGTCCGCTTTTGGCGGGGGAGGAGCCGCGGAAGATGCGGAGGCTTTAATCATCGAAAGCATGATGCCGACGGGGCCGGAAAACGGCGCGCGACGGCGGAAAGGCGACGCGCTTCTCGCGCGGGAGGAGCGACTTTTCGATTCGACGGCGCTGCTGCTCCGACTTTCCGCCCGCCCAGTCCGCGCCGCAGATGCTGCCGCCGATTGTGCCGCGGATCGCGATTCAGACGAGGAGTTCGATCGACGCAGGACTCTCGACGGCGACGCGGAGCGCAGAACGCTCGACCACGAACGTCCTTCTCTCCGTGAGGACGATTCGTCGCGAGAACGACTCGTCGTCGCCCATTCCGCGTCCTGACCGCCGTCGCTAGCCGCATCGTCTTCGTCGCAGTCGTCATTCGTCGCATCTTCGAAAATGTCGTCGCGAGGAACCATTGGCGCGCTGTGCAGGGCTCGGCTTCCGCACGGCAGTGTTCGGCTGCGACGAGACTCCGGCTGCGGCGTCGGCGATGTAACAGTTACCGCATCGGTACTCAACGACACCGTTTCGCGAAACGACGAGCTGGTTGAAAACGAGAAGTCGTTCCCTTCGGCGCGGTCCGCAGCGGTCCTTTCGCTGCCACAACGGCCCAACTCGCGCCCACTCCGTACCGCCGCGCCCCCGCCCCCGCCCGATTCGCTCCCGCTCCCGCTCCGTTCTTCCGCTCCGCCACCGCTTCGCACTTCCACATCCCCCTCCCATTCCCGCGAATCCCGCTCCGCGTCGAGCGTCCGTACCTGAAACATGCCCCGCGATCGACCGTTGAAAGACTGCGTCGGGCGCGACCCGGGAGTCAGGGCCTT